CATTTTCGATGGATAGGGTTCTGATTACAACATCAAAAGCAGTGTTGGCATCCATCATATGGCCTGGTGAAATGTAGATGATTTCTTTTTGTTTATTGTACATGGCATGGCCAATTAAACGTTTTCCATCTTGGTAATCAATCATCTCTACAATGTTGTTGGTTTTGAAACCATTTTGAATGTATTCTGGAGTGATACCCTTTGCAACCAAGAGATTCTTAGCTACTCCAATGGTTGGAATATTGGCCAAAATTCCGAAATGGGTGGCAGCACCAACGCTTCTTTGATGATTAATACCATTTCCATCCAAAATCATTAAATCTGGTTTGAATTGAGGATACTTTTTGGTTAAAGTTTCCCAAAGAGCAATAAAGTGTGGAACTTCCCTGAATGCCAAGTAACCGGCGACATATGGCTCGGTAAGTTTAATCATTTTATATGATTCGTATACGACTTTAAGGCTTGGATATTCTAAAACTACAATAGAGGCAACGGCATCATTTTTACTGCTCTTTGGGAATGAAATATCGCAGCCCCCAATTAATTTAATATTACAATTGTTAAGTTTAATAGATAAGTTATTAACATTATCATAAATAATTTTAGATCTTAAACTATTCTGTTCTTTAATTTTATCTCTAAAATATTTGTGGTATAAATGATTAATATTTTTTTTTTTTTTTTTTTTATTTTTTATTTTTTTTTTATTTTTATTATTATTACTATTATGTAAATGTGACACTTACGATTTCCAGTTTTCGACAGAGTGATTTAATGATATATTATCACTGAAATTTCTATCCTTTACCCAATTTTTGAGATTAATATTTACTTTTTTTGAATTTCTGTCTAATGGTTTAAATACAACATATGGTTTGATGTCATATTCCAAATCAATTCTTTGATCGCCAACTGGATTAATTGCTTTTGCTGGAGCTTCAACCATTTTATCTTCTTCATCTTCTTCATCTTCGAAATTTTCATCTTTATGTACCGATGCTGGTTTATTTAAAAACATTGATGCGAATGCACCTGGTTTTTCATCTTTTGGCTCTTCGGTTTTTTTATTGTTGTTATTATATGTATATTTCTTATTGTAATTATAATTATTATTTCTATTATTATTATTATAATTATTATAATTATTATTATTGTTTTTATTGTTATTATCATTGATTGATAAAGTACCAATTAATGGGATTTCGACTTCAACTTCTTTGTAATTATCAAATGTATAATTATTTGTGGCACTGACTGTGGTGGTATTACCTAAATAGGCAGTGTTATAGCTACTATATGATGTATCGTTGTTATTGTTATAACTGTTACTATTATTATTATAATCGCTGTTGTAACTATAGTCATATTGTGATGGTTGCTTTGGCTCTTGCTTTGGTGGATTTCCAATATTTCCATTATTTATAAATGGGGTACCTAAAAGCTCGCTCTTTCTTAAATTAAATTCATCTTGTGAAATAAAACAACTTTCTAAAAGATTTTGAATTTTGGTTAATTCATCTTGAATATCTTCAGAGTACATTATTATTATTATTGGTGTTATAAATTTAAAATTAAATAAAATTAATATTAAAAAAAAAAAAAAAAAAAAAATTATTTTGATTAAATGAATAAACCAAATTAAAAAAATATTTATAATTTTTATTTTGATGACAAGTTTATTTTTTCTGATATTTATAAAAAAATGAAAAAATTAAAAAATGAGAAAAAAATTTTGGTAAAAAAAAATAGAAAAAAAAAAGAAAATGAGAAATTTTTTTTTTTTGTGTTGTTAATTTATTATATTTACTTAAACAAAAATATACATATCTTATCTGAGCGGGGTATAAAACTTCATTTTCGTGTTACCATGTCTGTTATATGTTTCTAAAGTCTATTTTTCTCTCCTTTGGCGTGACAACGATCTTTATTCCATTTTTTACCTCATATAAAATGATAATATGGGTAATTGCAAAAAACCTCATAAAAAAAAAAAATATAGCACTTTTTTGTGCCGATGTTATTGGTGTTAGCCAAGATGATACTAAAAACCAAAATTGATTTTGGTTTTGATTTTTTTTTTGATTTTTTTTGATTTTTTTATTTGATTAGAAATAATAAAAATAGTTTTATGTTTATTTATATTTTTCTTTTTTTTGGTAACCAAAAATAAATAAATAACAATTAATAAAAAAAAAATAAAAAAAATGAAAAATAAAAAATAAAAAAAAAAAATAAATAAAATAAGTTTGTACCCCAGAGAAATCAAAATCGAAATATAAAAAAAAAAGGTAATATAATATGAATATTAGTGTGAATATGATAACCAATGGAAAATATAGATATACAAAATAAACAAGTCGCTCATATGGTTGCACAGATTAGAGGCAAACAATTAGCATGTGAACAAAGTCAAAATGCAATGAAAGATAATATTATAATATATTTCGAAATAAATAAAGACTATTTAAGATTAAATAAAGAACTAACCAAATATTTTAGAAATCATTTTAAAGAATTTGTTATAATAGGTAATAGAATTACCGAGTTTTTATCCAGTGAACCCATTTCAGATGTAGGATATCCAAACCAAAAAAATAAAACCCACCAACAACTAATATTGGCAAATGAGTGGATAAACAAGTATAGTGCATTTGAAATCATTGATCAAATTAGAAATGGTATATTTTTTAATGGTTTATCAAATAGTACAAGTAATATCATGCTTCCAGAATTAGAGTCAGATTGCGAAAATGAATACTGGGGTAATGAAAATCCATCAGTAACCCCGCTACTACTCTATGCTATAAATAAAATAATGGGATATCCATGCAATGATGATCAATTTTTGGTGGGGTGTGGAAAAAGAGTGCTATTTTTAAAAAAAGATTATCTACTACCAGATCATATTTTAACCGATACTTCAAACTATCCTTTTGCAGATAAGAAATCAATGATTCTATTTGGATCCTACCAATTCGGTGGACAACGTAGATTTTCAGCACAATATATATTTGGACCAGAGGATTGCTCAAGTAGCTTAAGTAAAGCATTATTTTTAAACTCAAACCAAGTTGCACACTTTTGTACTCCGCAAATACTTAATGCTTTCGAAAATCCAGATAATCAATATAAATTTAAAAAAGTAATAGAACTATGTGGCAACACTTTATTAGAATCTGTAAATAGCGTTGAACCAGGTGACATTTTTTTAACAACAAATCACACCGGTCTATTTTTAACAAAACCAAACTTTGGGGTGGCCCAAAACTCTGCATACACAATAGAATTTAAAAGAAATTTAGACTCAGAATTTGGTAAATGTGAAGGTGGCGGCTTTCGAATAATAAATCTTAATGATGGAACTCGTTATTACATACTACGTCCAAACATAGGTCCATTAAAACAAATAGTATCATTAAAGAAACTAATAGAAATAATAGACAGCAATTATCAACATTATAAAATAACCGACACAAATACTATAGGTGATTGCAGAATATTAATAGACAATATTATTTAACAACAATAAAAGATAAAAACTTTATTTTAAAAAAAAAAAAGATAAATAACTATAAAATATATTATAGAGAAATACAATTTGGATTTTTTATTATTTTTTTTGTTTTTTTTTTTAAAAAAAAATATTATAATAGATAATAAACTTTTTGATGGATAGGTTAAAAAAAAAAGATTTCTTTCTAAACAATTATTATTATTTTACTTGATTGTGATTATTGTGTTCTTTTTTTTTTTTTTTTGATTATTATTATTCATTTTTTTTTTTTTTTTTATTTTTTAATTTTAAAAAAGAGATGGTGGGATGATGATGATGGTTGTGATGGTGATATGATTGATGATGACGATGGATTGGTTTGATTATTATTTATGTATTATTTGTATTATTTTGTTATTATTTTATTTTTTTTGTTTTTGTTGTTTGTTTTTTAGTGGAGTCAATGGTCTACCATTACTATCATTTGTTATTTTTTTTTTATCGGCAGGTTTTAAAATTTGGAATGAGCACATTAAAGTTTCATCGACACCCATCATAGCACCAGCATTATCAAACTCTCCAAAGTAATTTGGAGCAGAGAAAAGTGTGACCAATTGACGCTTGGCAAAGAATTCATAACCATCTTCAACAACTTGATGGGCTCTGCAAACCAAATCTAGATCGTGTTTCTTGAGGAACTGTTCGACAATATCGGCACCGAAAGTATAAGATACACCACGATCATTTTCTTCCCAACCTGTAATATTTCTGTCTGGATCGGCCCATAAGAGGTCACATAAAAGACCGTAATCTGGTACAACTGTTGGTCTGGCAATTCTACGGATTTGATCCATGTTTTTGAGATCTGGTGAAAGACCACCATGCATACAAAAGATTTTTTCGTCGATAATAGCTGCAACTGGAAGACAATTAAAACAATCTGTAAAAGCTTTCCAAAGCTTGGAGTTGTATCTTCTTTTACATTCGTCATAAAAACCATAAATACGATTGATTGAAGCACATTCGTGATTACCTCTAAGAATGAAAAAGTTTTCTGGATATTTGATTTTGTAGGCTAATAAAAGACAAATAGTCTCTAAACTTTGTTTACCACGATCGACATAATCACCTAAAAAGAGGTAGTTGGATTGTGGTGGGAATCCACCATATTCAAAGAGACGAAGTAAATCATAGTATTGACCATGAATATCTCCACAAATTTTAATTGGTGCTTCTAATTCTAATAAAATTGGTTGATTTATAAAAATTTCTGTTGCTTGAACTGTTAAATATCTAATTTCTTCCTCTGCAAGGTCGACAAATTTACCTGGTTTAGTAGTTCTTGGTTCTAAAAGTCTAGATATAATTGAATCTAAATCAATTTCCATTCTTTCCTTTATATATATAAAATAAATAAATATTTAAACTTCTTTTTTTATTTTTGATTTCTGTTGATTTTTTTTTTTTTTTTCTTTTTCCTTTTTAATCTCCAAAAACAAAATTGTCTATTTTAAAAATAATTATAGATTAATAATTTGACTTAAAATTTAGATATTATATATATAAAACTATCCTTTTTTTTATAATAATCTATATTTCAATAAAAAAAAAAAAATAAATAGAAAAAATTTTAAAAAATTTTAAAAAAAAAAAAAATTTATAAGACAAAACCCCTTCTAAAAATTTTCAAAAAAAAAAAAAAAAAATTTTTAAAAAAAATTTTAAAAAAAAAAAAAAAAATTTTTAAAAAAAATTTTAAAAAAAAATTTAAAAAAAGGGTACAAAAAAAAAAAAATAACTAGAAATATAAAAATAACAATTAAATATTTATTTATTTGTTTATTGTTTATTTATTTAATAATAACACAATTTATATAGGTTGGTTATTAAAATGTGAGAAGATTATTTTTGATTAATTAAAAAAAATAAAATAAAAAAAAAAAAAATAAAAAAAAAATAAAACACACAAATTTTAAAAAATAAAATTTTCGTTAAGTGCTAAAATATCGATATGTGCATTATTTCTTTGAGTGACATTATTATTTTGTAATTATTATGATTATTATGATTATTGTGAATGTTATGATTGTTTTTATTATAAATATTTTAAAATAAAATAATTTAAAGAAAAAAAAATAAATAAGTTTAAACAAAAAATATATAAAAAATAAAATAATATAAATTATATATAATATAGAACTTACTATATTACACTTTAGTCAACAAAAATTAAAAAAAATAAAAATATTTTGTTGATAGACGCGTTTAAATAATATTATTTGTATACAAATAATAGTTTTTTTTAAAAAAAATAAAAAATAAAAAATAAAAAAAAATTTTAAAAATTATTATTTTTATTTTTATTTTTTTTTTTTTTTTTAAAAAAAAACCAAACTGACACTTAAATTTGAAATTTGTGTGTAACTCCTTTTTAAAATAAATTAAAAAGTATCTAATTTTGAAGAAAGGATAAAAAAAAAACATGAAAAAAATGATAAAAAAAAAGAATAAAGAAAAAAAGAGAAAAGATTATTATTACATTAAATTTTATTTGTTTTTTTTTAAAAAAATTATTATTTACTATATTATTATTATTATATTGTCTATTATTTTTAGAATATGCTGAAAAGTTTTTTAAAAAATAAATAAAATTGAGTTGAAATAAATGTTTTTTTTTTTAATAAAAAAAAAAAGGAAAGAAAAAAACTATTACCTTTTATATTATATAATTTTTTTTTTTTTTTCTAATCTAAATCTAAACCCCCCATTCCATTCATCATTTTAGCAAATGGATTGTTACCACCAGCAGTTGGATTACCACCGCCGCCGCCACCACCCATCATTTTAGCTAAACCGCTCATATCCATATTTTTGAAAGAATTTAAAAGACCTTGCATACCACCAGCGGCATTCATTTGTTTCATCATTTGTGGTGGCATCATATTTTGTAATTGTTGAAGACCCTTTGGACCGCCCTTGGATAAAAGGTTACCCATATTACCCATACCGCCTGGAACTTTTCCACCAATTAATTTTTCAAACATCTTGTGTTGTTCGAGTAATTCAAGTACTTCTTTTGGATGTCTACCTGCACCTTGAGCAATTGCAAGAATACGTTTTTGTGTAATTGGTTTTTTACCATCTAATTCTTTATCTGATAAACTATCTAAAATATTAATATAAGCCTTTAATTTCAAATTGCCTTCATTACCTTGAAGTTGTGGCATTTGACTCATACCTGGAATCATTTGAACGACTATAATAAAATAAAAGTAAATAGTTAATATTATGAGAAACTATTGAATAGCTATATAGTAATTTGGGTTACATACATTTATCAATTGGACCTAATTGTAAAATTTGTTGGAATTGTTGTTGCATACTTCTTAAAGTGAATTTACCTTGAGCAATTTCTTTTAATGATGATGAATCTTCTGGAATGACTTCTTTAATTTTTTCGAGCATACCCTTAATATCACCATTGCCTAAAAGTTTGTTAACAAAAGTTTCTGGATCGAAAAGATCTAAATCGGTTAAATGTTCACCAGTACCAATAAAAATAATTGGTGATCCAGTAGCAGCAATACCTGAAAGAGCACCACCACCTTTACTGTTACCATCCATTTTAGTGATAATAATTGAACCAACTTTAACAGAGTTTTTGAAGGCTGTAGCTTGTTCATATGCAGCTTGACCAATTGAACTATCCATAACAAAAATAACATTATCTGGTTTTACAGCGGTTTCGATTTGTTTCATTTCTTCAAATAATTCACTATCTTGTTTGTGTCTACCTGATGTATCTACAATAATAATTTCTGTACCTTCTTTTTTAAAAATATCTACACCAGCCTTTGCAACGACAACAGGATCTTTTTCAGTATCACTGCCATAGTATTGAATTTTACCTTTTGCTGCATTGTGACGAACTTGATCAAAAGCACCAGCACGGAAAGTATCAGCACAAACAATAGCTGTGCTCCATCCTTTCTTTTTATAATAATATGCTAATTTTGTAACTGAAGTGGTTTTACCTGCACCTTGAAGACCAACAAACATTACCACATTTGATTTTCCTTTGACTGGTTTCCATAATGGTACGCCTGGGTCTACTAATCTAATAAGCTCTTCAAATACAACTTTTCTAATAATCTTTCTCTTGTTTAAACCTGCTGCGATTTGATCTAATTTAACTTTTTCCTTAATGTTCTTTCTCATCTGTATGATCAAACTCATACTAACATCTGATTTACTTAATGCATTTCCGATTTCTTTTAATAATGTATTTATAGTATCTTCATTTACAATTGTTGATTCGTTTAAATTCCTTAATGCTGCTGATAATTGATTACCTAATTCTGCTAAAACCATTTTTTATTCTTTTCTTTATTAAAACTATCTATTATATAAATATAATAAATATTTTAAAATAAAACAAAATGAAAAAAATAAAATATAGTTATATTATAATAAAAAATAAAATTTTTTGATTTTAATATTTATATATAATTAGTTTTGAAATTTTTTTATTTTTTTTTTTTGTGTTTGAAATTTTTAAAAAAAATTAAAAAAAAAAAAAAAAATTATTATTTTTTTAAAATTTTTTTAAAAAAATAATTTAAAAAAAGTAAATTAAATAGAAAAAAAGTCAAAAAAAAGTTTTTTAAATTAATTGGATTTTAAATGTAAAGTTAATCCCTTAATTATATTTATATTTGTATTTATATATCTAATTTTATAAATTTTGTGTACTACTATTATTATAAAATAGTCTTTTGTTTTTTTTTTCTCTCTTTAATTTTTTATTTTTTTAAATTTTTAAAAATAAATTAAAAATTAAATAATATTTTAATTTATTTTTAATTTATTTTTTTTTAATTTTTACTAAAATGGAATTATTTAATTATTTTTTTTATTTTCTATTGCTTTAAAAGTTAATATTATTGTTTTTCATAATAATAGTTTTTTTTTTTTTTTTTTTTTTTTTATAATAATTCATAGTAAATATTCTTTTTTTTTTTTATTTAAATTTTTAAATAATTGTTCCCTTTATATATCATAAATAAATTCATTTTAAATATATATTGTCTAAAGATTAATTTATATCTATAAAAAAAATAAAAAAATAAAAAAAATAAAAATGATAAAAAATAATATTAATTTTTTAAGTAAAGTTTTAAAATCAAATAATAATAATAACCTCCAAATTATAAATTATTCAACAACTTCAAAAAATAAAAATAAATTTTCATCATCTTCAAATAATAATAATGACACAGTAAAAAATGTTAAAGTAAATAGTTCATTTTATTATAATTACAATAAAAATGGCGAGATTAAACAAGGTGGATATGTAAAGAAATCATTATATGACTATGATCCCCTTGCCAAAACACCGGCTATTAAAAACTCAACCGAATATTTTGCTTTTGGCGATACCCCAGTAGGAGAAATTATTAAATCAAAACATGAAAAAAATATTATCTTTATAAAAGAGAATGACACAATTTATCAAGCAATTAAAGAAATGGATAAACATGGCATTGGTGCACTATTGGTAACATCGGAAAAGGATGGCTCTTTAATTGGTATTTTCACCGAACGTGACTATCTCGGCAAAGTAGCTCTATTAGATAAAGACTCCAAAACCACCAAGGTATCAGAGGCAATGACTCGTAATGTAACTACAATTTGCGAAAAAACAGGTGTCGTTGAAGCCATGCATCTCATGACTAATAAACGTTTCCGTCATATTCCAGTTACCAATAATGATGCTTCAAGTGTAATCGGTTTGGTTTCAATTACAGATTTAATCAAAACCTTACGTAAAGATCAAAAAGAAACCATCAAATATTTAAATGAATTTGTTGGTGATCCAAACTCATATTCATTTAAAAATTAAAACAAACAAATCAAACCTCCTAAATTGATTTAAATAAAAATAAAATTTTAAATAAAAAAAAGAAATTGGTTAGAATAATAAATAATAATAATAAAATATTTTTTTTAAATATATTTCAACTACTTGAAATCGAGATAATAAATATTTTATAAAAAACGAATAATGTTAAAAATTTTTTTACATTATTCGTTTTTTTTTAATTTTTTTCTATTATTTTTTTTTTTTTATTTATTTTATTTTTAAATTATTTAATTTTTTATTTTTTCTTTTTTTTTTTAAAAAAAAAAAAAACGAAACTAAACTATCACCTTTTTTTTTTTTTTTTTTTCCTTTAGTAATTTTCAAATACGAAATATATATATATAAATAAAATGGCCAAAGGTATTTCATTAAATAAATAAACTTATATTATTTCTTTTTATTTTTTATTTGTTTCAAAATAAAATAATTATTTTAGTTTTATTATTATTATAATTATTTATTTTAAAAAAAAAACCTATTAAATAAAACAAATATAAAAAAAAAATAAAAAAAAATATTAATTAATATTTTTTTTAAAAAAAATTATTACTACTATTAGACTCAAAAGCTATTGAATCAAAAAAAAGAAAGAAAGAAGAATCAGAATCAGAAACTGAATCAAGCGAAGAAAACAACAATAACTCATCATCAGAATCAGAATCAGAAGATGAATTAAAGATTGTTGGTGAAGAAAAATCAAATGACTCTAAACCAGCTAAAACTTTCGAAAAGAAATCATTCAACAGAAGCGAAGATAATGAAGATAACACAAGAAAAGCTGCTGAAGACGAATTAAAAATTTTCGTTGGTCAATTACCAAGTCGTGTTAACGAAGATGAAATCAGAACCTATTTTGAAGAATGTGGTGAAATCACCAATGTTAAAGTTTTAAGCGGTAATCCACAAAGAGTTGCTGCTTTTGTTACTTTTGCTACTGAAGACGGTAAAAATGCTGCTATTGCTTTCAACGGTAAAGACTTCAATGGTAACGGTCCACTTAGAATTAATGCTGCCAACAGCAAACCATCAGATGGTGAAGGTGAACCAACTACCATCGTCGCCAGAAATATTGCTTTCTCTGTTGATGAAACTTTAGTTAAAGAATTCTTCCAAGGTTGTGGTAAAATCACTCGTGTTTCATTACCAACTTATGAAGATTCAGGTAGATTAAAAGGTTTTGCTTTCGTTTCATTCGATTCAGAAGAAGCTGTCGACAAAGCTATTGCTTTAGCTGGTACCATGTTTGAAGGTCGTGAAATCCAAGTCGAAAAATCAGTTAAAGGTGGTAGCCGTGGCGGTTTCGGTGGCGGTCGTGGTGGTAGAGGTGGTCGTGGCGGTTTCGGCGGCGGTCGTGGTGGTAGAGGCGGTTTCGGCGGTGATCGTAACGGCGGCGGTCGTGGCGGTTTCGGCGGTGGTCGTGGTGGTAGAGGCGGTTTCGGCGGTGATCGTAATGGTGGTGGTCGTGGTGGTGGCAGAGGTGGTGGTCGTGGTGGTTTCGGTAACAAGAGATTCAAGAGCGATTATTAAATAATAAAGGCCTAAAAAAAAAAATATATAATATATAAAATTTTAAATATAATAATAATAACAATTCTGAAAAAAACTAAATAATAATAATAATAATAATAATCTTAGCAACAATAATAATAACCAATAGTTTATATTTAATCAATAATATTATAAAAATCAAAAAAATTATTTCATTTTTATATCAATCTTTTGTAATATAAATCTTTTTTTTTTTATCCACACAAATGTTCAACATAATAATTCTATTATGTACTTAGAATACCTAAATAATACCCTTTTAAAAAAAAATAATAAAAAAAAAATAATAAAAAAAAATAAAAAAATAAAAATATTTTTAAAAAAAAAAAAAAAAGAAAGCTTTTGTGTTATAATTGTTTTGGTTTGGTTTTTTTCGAAAATTTCAATATTTTGTTAAACCTTTAATTATTTCATTGATTTTTTTGGGTTTGGTTTGATAAATTAATAATAGTTTCTTTTAAAACATCACACATATTTTCCTCAATTACATCCTTAAAATCCACTCGAGAATTCCCTATAAGCTTAACTAATAATTTTTTTAACACTTAAAGCAAATTTTTAATAATTTTGGGTCCAGAGAGTTTTGAGATCGCTATGAAATCAATTCGATTTTAAATTTTTGAAAATTTCCAAACTATTAATTGGACAATCATTAAAAATAAAAAATTAAAAAAATAAAATAAAATTTTTTATTTATTAAATATAATAAATGTTTATCTTTTTTATATTTATGAACTAATTTTATTATATGAAAAAAAATATATAAGATATTATAAATTTTTTTTTTGGAGACCCAGCCAAAACCTTTTGGAAATTATTGCACCATTGAAAGTAATGATACTTATCTATCTTTTCAGCTTGTCTAAATTCAATATTACACAGACTTCTATAATGTAAACAAGATGTTTAACATGATCAATTACCACAATATCTGGTATTTCATAACGATTGATCAATGATTTAATAATCTCAACTATTACTTTTTCATAACCTTTAATTCTACCATGTTTATTCATACAAGCACACCCATCAATCGATTGATTCTTTAGCACTAAAACATAATCTACATATTGTATCAGGTAGTTAAGTTGATTCATGGTGTAGCATTGAAGCTCTATTGGGAAGTAATGGTAAGATTGCATCCCAAAAAGTATCTTCAATATTAGGCCCATTCAATGTAAAAAGGCCCGAATGTGAGTGTTGTAAGACTATTTGGCAATATGCCGGGTGGAACTGCTTGGTTAAAACAATCACCGAATGTGAGTGTTGTGAGACTATTTGGTAATGCATCGGGTAGAGCTACTTGGTTATAATAATAACCGAATGTGAGTGTTGTGAGACTATTTGGTAATGTCCCGGGTGGAATTAGTTGGTTAAAATAATAACCGAATGTGAGTGTTGTGAGACTATTTGGTAATGTGCCGGGTGTAACTACTTGGCTAAAACAATCACCGAATGTGAGTGTTGTGAGACTATTTGGTAATGTGCCAGGTGGAACTTCTTGGTTGAATTTATTTCCGAATGTGAGTGTTGTGAGACTATTTGGTAATGTGCCGGGTAGAACTGCTTGGTAATAATAATCACCGAATGTGAGTGTTGTGAGACTATTTGGTAATGTGCCGGGTAGAACTACTTGGTTATAATAATCACCGAATGTAAGTGTTGTGAGACTATTTGGTAATGTGCCAGGTGGAATTACTTGGTTATAATAATCACCGAATGTGAGTGTTGTGAGACTATTTGGCAACGAGCCGGGTAGAATTACTTGGTTAAAATAATAACCGAATGTGAGTGTTGTGAGACTATTTGGTAATGAGCCGGGTAGAACCACTTGGTTAAAATCATTACCGAATGTGAGTGTTGTGAGACTATTTGGTAATGTGCCGGGTGTAACTACTTGGTCAAAACGATACCCGAATGTGAGTGTTGTGAGAGTATTTGGTAATGTGCCAGGTGTAACTACTTGGTTAAAACGATAACTGAATGTGAGTGTTGTGAGACTATTTGGTAATGTTCCGGGTGTAACTACTTGGTCAAAACAATCACCGAATGTGAGTGTTGTGAGACTATTTGGTAATGTGCCGGGTGTAACTACTTTGTTAAAATCATTACCGAATGTGAGTGTTGTGAGACTATTTGGTAATGTGCCAGGTGTAACCACTTGGTTAAAATCATAACCGAATGTGAGTGCTGTGAGACTATTTGGTAATGTGCCAGGTGTAACTACTTGGTCAAAACAATCACCGAATGTGAGTGTTGTGAGACTATTTGGTAATGTGCCGGGTGTAACTACTTTGTTAAAATCATTACCGAATGTGAGTGTTGTGAGACTATTTGGTAATGTGCCAGGTGTAACTACTTGGTTAAAATGATACCCGAATGTGAGTGTTGTGAGACTATTTGGTAATGTGCCGGGTGTAACTACTTGGTTAAAACAATAACCGAATGTGAGTGTTGTGAGACTATTTGGTAATGAGCCGGGTAGAACTACTTTGTTAAAATCATTACCGAATGTGAGTGTTGTGAGACTATTTGGTAATGTGCCAGGTGTAACTACTTGGTTAAAATGATACCCGAATGTGAGTGTTGTGAGACTATTTGGTAATGTGCCGGGTGTAACTACTTGGTCAAAACAATCACCGAATGTGAGTGTTGTGAGACTATTTGGTAATGTGCCGGGTGTAACTACTTTGTTAAAATCATTACCGAATGTGAGTGTTGTGAGACTATTTGGTAATGTGCCGGGTGGAATTACTTGGTTAAAATGATAACCGAATGTGAGTGTTGTGAGACTATTTGGTAATAGGCCGGGTGGAACTTCTTGGTTGAATTTATTTCCGAATGTGAGTGTTGTGAGACCACTTGGTAATGTGCCAGGTAGAACTACTTGGTTAAACATTTTAGAGAATGTGAGTGTTGTGAGACCACTTGGTAATGTGCCAGGTAGAACTACTTGGTTAAACATTTTAGAGAATGTGAGTGTTGTGAGACCACTTGGTAATGCGCCGGGTGGAATTGCTTGGTTAGTACCGAATATGAGTGTTGTAAGACTATTTGGTAATGTGCTGGGTAGAACCACCCGGCTAAAATCAACACCGAATAGTGTTGTGAGACTATTTGGTAATGTGCCGGGTAGAAATAATTGATTAAAACCATCACCGAATGTGAGTGTTGTGAGACTATTTGGTAATGTTCCGGGTGTAACTATTTGGTTAAAATCATTACCGAATGTGAGTGTTGTGAGACTATTTGGTAATGTTCCGGGTGTAAGTACTTGGTCAAAACAATCACCGAATGTGAGTGTTGTGAGAGTATTTGGTAATGTGCCGGGTGTAACTACTTGGTCAAAATCATCACCGAATTTGAGTGTTGTGAGACTATTTGGTAATGTGCCGAATGTAACTACTTGGTTAAAACAATCACCGAATGTGAGTGTTGTGAGAGTATTTGGTAATGTGCCAGGTGGAATTACTTGGTTAAAAAAAATACCGAATGTGAGTGTTGTGAGACTATTTGGTAATGTTCTGGGTGGAATTACTTGGTTAAAATTAACACCGAATGTGAGTGTTGTGAGACTATTTGGTAATGTGCCAGGTGTAACTACTTGGTTAAAATCATAACCGAATGTGAGTGCTGTGAGACTATTTGGTAATGTGCCATGTGTAACTACTTGGTTAAAATCTTTACCGAATGTGAGTGTTGTGAGACTATTTGGTAATGTGCCAGGTGTAATTACTTGGTCAAAAAAAATACCGAATGTGAGTGTTGCGAGACTATTTGGTAATGTTCCGGTTGTAACTACTTGGTTAAAATAATAACCGAACGTGAGTGTTGTGAGACTATTTGGTAATATGCCTGGTAGAATTATTTCATCAAAATAATCACCAAACGTGAGTGTTGTGAGACTATTTGGTAATGTGCCATGTGTAACTACTTGGTTAAAATCTTTACCGAATGTGAGTGTTGTGAGACTATTTGGTAATGTGCCAGGTGTAACTACTTGGTTAAAATCATAACCGAATGTGAGTGCTGTGAGACTATTTGGTAATGTGCCATGTGTAACTACTTGGTTAAAATCTTTACCGAATGTGAGTGTTGTGAGACTATTTGGTAATGTGCCAGGTGTAACTACTTTGTTAAAATCTTTACCGAATGTGAGTGTTGTGAGACTATTTGGTAATGTGCCGGGTAGAACTACTTGGTTAAAATCATTACCGAATGCGAGTGTAGTAATTGTATTTGGTAAAGCTGTTGGAGGTAACATTTTAGAAAAATTGTACAAATATAAATTTGTTAAAAATGGTGGAAATTCATTTTTATCCGGTAGTGGACCACCCCACTTAAGTGTTGTTATATATGATTTATATTTAAACTGGTCATAACGGCATCTATCAAAATCTACAACACGATGTTCAATAAACTTTAAAATATGTTCATGAATTTCTTTTCTTAAAAATATATTATTCCAAACTTTATATAATAATCTATAATAAATAGTTAAAAAGTGAAAAAACCAATTAATGTACTTTCAATTAATATTTATTGTATTGTACTTACCTATCACTAATATTGTTACTATTTTTTAGCTCTTCATTTACGCGAAATTTAATTAGAGATGATAGTTGCTCATCCATTATTAATATAAAAAAATAAATAAAAAATTAAAAAAAAAAATATAAAAAATAAATATTTTACCAAAACTTAAAAAAAATTTCCCAAGAAAATTAAAAAAATTTCAAAAATTAAAAAATGTTTTAAAAAAATAATATATTTAAATTTATAACACTCTTGTTCAAAATTTTGATTTTCTTGATCCTCATCAAAAGCTATATGTGATACTACTTTTTTAAAATATAACTCGTTATATCAAAATTTTTATTTTGTCGTTTAGCTAACTATTTCTTATTTAAAAAAAAGTATAAAGTAATTAAATATATCCATTTACCCAAATTTTCTTTTAATCCTTTAACTTTATCCCAATGAATAGCTAAACCAGTTGCAACAACCAAATAATCATAGTCAACTTGTTTACCATCTTTAGTTAAAACAATGTTATCCTAAAAGAAAAAAAAAAATTAATAACAATGAAAAATTTAAGAGGAAACGGAGCATACGTTTACAAATAGAGTATAAAACACATACCAAAACAAAACAAAAAACAAAAAAAATATTGATCACTTAATCTATCATAAAGAATTATCATCAAAAAAAAAATAAAAATTAAATGAATATTACAGTTATAATTTTATCTAATTTATTTTCCTTTATTTTAAATAATTTATTATTTAAAATTAAAAATTAAAAATAAAAATAAAAAAATTAAAAATTAATATTAAAAATATAAATAAAGATTTTATATCAACAATTGATTTATTTTTGTATAATTTTTTGTAAAAAATAAATTACATGAACACATTAATATACCTCATTTATTACGTAACATAGTTTTTTTTAATCTGTACAGATTTCGGTTTTCACAAATAAACAATTGTATATTTATTTGATTCAAAGAATTAAATATTTTTGTTATTAATTTATAACCAAAGTTACTCAATCTACAAATTATATCCGGATTTAAATGTTGTGAGAGTATTTGGTAATGCGCCAGGTGTAACTACTTGGTTAAAATCTTTACCGAATGTGAGTGTTGTGAAACCATTTGATAGTGTGCCTGGTGGAACTACTTGGTTAAAACAATCACCGAATGTGAGTGTTGTGAGACTATTTGGTAATGTTCCGGGTGGGACTACTTGGTTAAAACAATAACCGAATGTGAGTGTTGTGAGAGTATTTGGTAGAAGAATGTTAATCATGACTGATTACTTTATTTAATTTTATGTTTAAGGAAAAAGATATTTTTTTAAAAAAATTATATGGCAAACAAAGTAATTAGCAGAGGGGAATTAAATTTATAGGAATTTGAAAAATTAACAATTGATTTCTTATTATGAGGCTTTAAATTTTTGGGTCCAACTTTGGAGAGAGAGGATAGTACCAATTATTGCTTTTCTTGGTAATGTTTTGAACAAATGTACCTTTTCGTTTTCAAGAAGAGGTAGTAGACTTAAACAATCTTTGAGAGATTTGATGGTGAGAGTTATATCTTTTTCAGTGTGGGGAACTTCTTTAGTTATAATTCTGCCAAATGCACCTATGACTATTGGGATTATTTGTACATCAAATGATCTGCCATCTGGATCTTTGTATTGGTTCTTAAAGTGTTTTTTGAAGTAATCGTATTTCAATAGTTTTTCATGTTGTCTGAACAGCATATTACCATCGAAAGGGATACATACATCAATAACACGGATGATGTGTTTTACTTTATCAATAACTACAATATCAGGTTTATTTTGTATTGAGTCAGAGTTTTTAAAACAGACATCACGTAAGATTTCAACATTGATGATGGTTTGATTGTTTTCCTTTAAAGAGTTTGAGAAGATGGGTGCCTTGAAGTTTGTGATGTTGGGGATTTCATAACGTTTAATAAGTGATTTTATGATTTCAGTAACAACCATGTCATGACGGGTGATTCTACCGAATTTATTCATACCTGTACATCCACCTACTAAATGTTCAATTGATTCATCAGCACTTGCACACAACCTACATCTCCTATCAGCATTTGAACTTGCATCACGGTGAACTAAAGACATTTTGTTTGGTAATAACGACAAAACTGCTTCCCAAAATGTTGCTTCGATATGAGCCGGGATATGAGTCCAACCTTTGATCCAGTGTATCCAATGTTCATGAAATCTTCTCCACAAACGTTTCTTTGCAACACCTACTTCCTCTTCTTTTACACGTTTATATAATTGAAGATTGGTAAAGTGTTTGATGATGGATGACATTTTATCAGATTGTTCTGCATTTTCATTGTTTGAGTAAACAGTATAAGTGGTAACATTGTCGTCATCGACTTTTGGAATAGTTACGGTCCACATTCCATTTGCGGCAAATGATAATTCAAAACCAAGTTCTGAGGCGTAATGACAGGCTGTGTCATATCTTCTGGATGGAGGAGGTACCATAATACTTGAATTTTTGTAAAGACCAAAGTCATCACCTATAAATACAGAAAATTTAATATTTTCATGAAATTTGAGTAATGTAGTGATTTTATAAACCATGAATTCTTGTTTTATGTTTGTAAACCCCCTTCCACCATATTTACGAGGTAAATGGAGGAAGTCATTTGACATGAATGGATGTTTTATTCCATTAGAACGCATTATTTCTTTTATAGCAGTAGAAAGTGCTTTAATATCTTTTAGGGAAAAGTCTAAAAACCAGTAATATCTGAGGTAACCTACAATAAGTGAGTCGAATGCACTGACTAGATTGAAACCAGACAATTCGGATTTGAATAATCTGTTGGCCCTAGATATTGCTTCTCTGTTTATTACTTCACGATTTTTGTCAATATCAATAATTGGATTGAAGTAGACACCCATATATTTGTACGGAGTATCTTTGGAAACTTTTTGAATACCTTGGAATAAGTCGACACCATCGAAGTAAGGGTTATCACCGTTTACCAGAGGGACCTGTTCAGTGTTGAAATGGCCATGTTTTTTGAAAAACATACCACAACTACTACATACACGGGAACCTACTGGGAAGTCGTCAGGCATATAATTTCTAGAAAGATAGTTTTGTTTCTTTAAAATTTTTTGACACTGATAACATCGGGCAGCAACACTTTCTCCTAGGAAGACAGCGGACTTTGATTTGTTTGCTTTCAGGCCAATATCAGCGAATGCAGTAAGAGTTTCGGCCAGAGTATGACATAAAGCTTCATTGCTACATGAGTATAGTTTGATATCGTCGATGTACAAACGGTGAGATATTTTGGTTTCATCAATCACTAAAGGGTTATTGATATGTGAGATGTATAAACTAACAACATTAATGGATAAACAAAAGAGGAGTGGACAAAGAGCATCACCTTGAAATATACCATTGGTAATTGGGATAAAATCAGTTTTGGTACATCTATTGATAAAGATACGAGTCTTCCATTTAGACATAACCAACCTGATAGCATTGACAATTACTTTATCTACTTTTTGTAATTCCAGAGCAAATACAATGAAGTCATGGCGGAGTGAATCATATGCTTTTATGAGATCCACCCAAGAGCAGTTGAGGTCATTTGAGTTTACCTTTTCAGTTACAAAACGGTCAGCAGTTAAATTTTCGTAGGTACCCCAGGTAGAAGGTTTGGCACCTTTTTGTTGTTCTTGAATGATATTGTTCCTTATTAGAGTGTGGTCATTAAGTTGTTAGTAATACGCCAGTAAAACATTTATATAGATTATTGAGACAAGATATTGGACGGTAGTTAGATTCTGAGTTAGAGTCGCCGACTTTAAAAACACGGTAGGTAATACCTTCACAGAACCAGTCAGGCAATACATTATTATCAATAGCATCGGAGAAAGCAGTGGCAATATAGGAGTGGGAGCTAGTCAATTTTTTGATCCAGTAGTTGCAGATCATATCTGGGCCAGGGGCGGACCAGTTCTTCTTGTTTCTAATGTAATTAAAAACAGAAGTTGAGTCTATTGGAGCAAATTTTGTGGGTTTGATCTTGAGCTTGGTAACCACTTTGTTGACATCTTTGGTCCATTTCAAACGGGAGTAGTCTGGATCATGGGGGACAAAGTCATGTTGGGCTTGTGGGTTCCATAACTTTGACCAGAAGTCGTGTGCTTGCTTCTTGACAGCAGATTGATTAGATTCGTCGGGCAAAATATTAGGTTTTGATTTAGATAACATACCAAAGGCTTTGTTTCTATCAGTGGTCATTAGATTATTGATTACTGTAAACTTGTGTTGTTTCATACATTTTGCAATTGCAGCTTTGTACGTGTCTTTTTGTTTACATATGGAAGCAATAACCCTTCTAAGACAGTTGATGTTGAACGTTTGGGCTTCTGGGGATTCCTTCATAACCATTTTAATCACCTTTGAACCTGGTTTACCACCTCTTCTTAACCTTGAACAAGCAGCCTCAAGTATACGTCGTTGTCTACTAATATCTTTGATTTTTAATTTATTATCATTGATAATGTCGTTGGCAACCTTTTGAGGTAGGGATTCTTTGTCACCTTTGGACTTGATTTTGATTATAGAAGTTGCAACAGCATAAATGGTCTTACTAATTGCGTCGTGGTGTATTGTCTGCCAATAATCTGGTAATGATCTCTTCAAATATTTCAATTTTTCATCATTTCTAAGATTGACTATTAATTTTTCTAGTTCTGATAAATTTGAATTCACCAATTCCAAGAAGGAATCGTCTCTACTGCTTGTTTTACCTGTTTGCACATTCATGTTGGTGGCAGCGGAGCCTGATACTGTATTATTATTATTATTATGTTTGTGTGTATTCATTAATATTATAGAACAGAATTGTTTAGCGTCCCTCTGAAAAGGTGTCAGCTGTGACAGAAGACGGTGGGTGAAGCCCCTACAGGCTCTGAAAATAGGTGGAAATCAGGGTCCAGATGTTTATTACGGTGTTACTCCTCACCTTGGTAATGTGCCGGGTGTAACTACTTGGTTAAAACGATACCCGAATGTGAGTGTTGTGAGACTATTTGGTAATGTGTCAGGTAGAATTACTTGGTTAAAATGAATACTGAATGTGAGTGTTGTGAGACTATTTGGTATTTAATTATTAGTCATGAACTGACCACTTTATTTATAGTTTTTTTTTAGTATTAATGTTATGTTTTTACTTTGTTTAGGAATTCATTGATTCACTTGGTGCGGACATATTGATTATTACCTTGGCTATTTTTTCTGTGGTAGTCAGAGCCAGCTTCTGTTCATATAAGCCGGGACCACTAAGATCAGTATCACAATCTTTGTGGTTTGGTCTAGTCTGTGTTATACCTGCAATGCATTCTGATTGATGAGACCGGACCGGGTATCGTTTAACGATTCATACCATTTAAAATGGCAGAGTTCTGAATTTGGGTGGATATCAGGATCCAGATGTTTTTTTTACTGTGTTACTCCTCACCTTGGTAATGAGCCTGGTGTAACTACTTGGTCAAAACAATCACCGAATATGAGTGTAGTAATTGTATTTGGTAAAACTGTTGGTGGTAGCATTTTATAAAAACCGTACAAATACAAATTTGTTAAAAATGGTGGAAATTCATTTTTATCTGGTAGTGGATCACCACCCAACTTAAGTGTTGTTATATACGATTTTTTTTTTAAACCGGTCATAACGGGATTTATCAAGATCTACAATGCTATGCTTAATAAACTTTAAAATATGTTTATGAATTTCATTTCTTAAAAATTTATTATTCCAAACTCTATATAACAATCTATTTATTATAATAAATAGTTAAAAAGTGAAAAAACTAATTAATGTGCTTTTAATTAATATTTATTGTATTGTATTGCACTTACCTTTCACTTTTATTGCTACTGTTTTTTAACTCTTCTTTTACTCTAAATTTAATTAGAGATGATAGTGTCTCATCCATTATTAATATAAAAATATATTAAAAAATAAAAAAAAATATAAATACAAATATAAAAATATATATTAAATACAAAAATCAAAAAATAAAAAAAAAATATAAATACAAATATTTTATCAAACTTAAAAAAAATATGCAAAAAAATTAAAAAAAAATTTCAAAACTTAAGATTTAAATAAAAAATATTTAAATTTATAACACTCTTGTTCAACATTTTGATACTTGATCATCATTAATTTTAGCTTAACTTGATGTATATTCCTTTTTGAAAAACTTTGATGGTGGAGAAGTGTTTGTTATTTGATAACATCCCCAATTGTTATAATCGATATCAATTTCTTCTAATAATGAATCATTTTAATTGATTTTGATTTAGAAATGGAATGAATGGATCGTCTTGACTTTCACTTTTCGAGCATATAATGACTCTTGTTGCCCCCTATTTAAAAGTTGATATTGTTGTTCATAAATTTCATTTTTTTGAGACAATGATCCTTCAACATATAAAAATTCACTTAGGTGGTTGTTTCAATTGTTATCATTTATCGTAGCTCAATGATTTTTTGCTGTGTTAAATTCATAAAAAATATAATTTTTTTTTAAAGGAAAAAAAGTATAAATGTCAAAATAAAAATTTGTATTAAAATACTACTTGTTTAAAATAGAACTTGTTATATCCAAATTTTTATTTTGTCATTTATACTTTTTTTATATAAAAAATATTTAGCCAAAGTAATTAAATATATCCATTTATAAATCATATTTATTTAAGTTTTTTCCCTAAATATCATCCCACCTGGTGTTTTACAATCATTAATATTTAAAAAAAAAATTTTAATAGATTTTATAATAAATATGTTTATTTATTTATTTATTTTTGGAGTTTCGACTGGATTCAAAAGTAAATTTTTACCAAACCAATGACCATTTAACATACCATTCCAGTAGGCAAATGGGAAAACATACTTTTTAAGAAACATTGGAAAGTAAGATTCTTTTGATTGATCCCATGGTAAAGATTCTGCTACTTCGTTACCATATTTGAACTCTGCTAAAATAAGTTTGTTATAAGATGTGGTGATTGGACATGATGTGTAACCGTCATATTTGGCCTTTAATGGGAGTCCCATTTTATGTGATATTAAATTACTAACTAAAACTGGTGTTTGAGATGTAATAGCGGCAGCAGTCTTTGAGGTTGGTAAATTTGAAGAGTCACCCAATTAGAAAACATTATCATATTTTACATGTTGAAGGGTTTCTTTATTAACATTAACAAAACCAGAAGCTGGGTCGGCAAGTGGTGAATTCTTGATAACGTCTGGGGCACCCATTGGTGGAGTAACGTGGATCATGTCGTACTTTACTGTTTTATTGCCTTCTGGTGTTTCAAAGATAGCTTCTTTAGCATCACCTTTGATTTCGATAAGGTTGTATTTAAAGTTTTGAGTAATACCTTTTTCTTTGGCCATATTTTTATTTTCCTTTATTTTAAATAATTTATTATTTAAAATTAAAAATTAAAAATAAAAATAAAAAAATTAAAAATTAATATTAAAAATATAAATAAAGATTTTATATCAACAATTGATTTATTTTTGTATGATTTTTTGTAAAAAATAAATTACATGAACACATCAATATACCTCATTTATTACGCAACACAGTTTTTTTAATCTGTACAGATTTCGGTTTTCACAAATAAACAATTGTATATTTATTTGATTCATAGAATTAAATATTTTTGTTATTAATTTATAACCAAAGTTACTCCATCTACAAATTATATCCGGATTTAAATGTTGTGAGAGTATTTGGTAATGAGCCAGGTGTAACTACTTGGTTAAAATCTTTACCGAATGTGAGTGTTGTGAGACTATTTGGTAATGTGCCGGGTGTAACTACTTGGTTAAAACAATCACCGAATGTGAGTGTTGTGAGACTATTTGGTAAAGTTCCGGGTGTAACTACTTGGTTAAAACGATACCCGAATGTGAGTGTTGTGAGGGTATTTGGTAATGTGTCAGGTGTAACTACTTGGTTAAAATAATGACAGAATGTGAGTGTTGTGAGACTATTTGGTAATGTGCCAGGTGTAACTACTTGGTTAAAATCTTTACCGAATGTGAGTGTTGTGAGAGTATTTGGTAATGTGTCGGGTAGAATTACTTGGTTAAAACTACCACCGAATGTGAGTGTTGTGAGAGCATTTGGTAATGTGTCGGGTGGAACTACTTGGTTAAAACGATACCCGAATGTGAGTGTTGTGAGACTATTTGGTAATGTGTCAGGTAGAATTACTTGGTTAAAATCACCACCGAATGTGAGTGTTGTGAGACTATTTGGTAATGAGCCGGGTAGAAATTCTTGGTTAAATTTTTGACCGAATGTGAGTGTTGTGAGACTATTTGGTAATGTGTCGGGTAGAATTACTTGGTTAAAATAATCACCGAATGTGAGTGTTGTGAGATTATTTGGTAATGTGTCGGGTAGAACTACTTGTTTAAAATCTTTACCGAATGTGAGTGTTGTGAGAGTATTTGGTAATGTGCCGGGTGTAACTACTTGGTTAAAATCATAGCCGAATGTAAGGGTTGTGAGACTATTTGGTAATGTGCCGGGTGGAACTACTTGGTTAAAACGATGACCGAATGTTAGTGTTGTGAGACTATTTGGTAATGTCCCGGGTGGAACTACCTGGTTAAAATTACTCTTGAATTCGAGTGTTGTGAGACTATTTGGTAATGTGCCGGGTGTAACTACTTGGTTAAATTTATTTCCGAGTGTGAGGTTTATGAGACTATTTGGTAATGTGCTGGGTAGAATTACTTGGTTGAAATCATAGCCGAATTTGAGTGTTGTGAGAGTATTTGGTAATGTGTCGGGTAGAACTACTTGGTTAAAATGATAACCGAATGTGAGTGTTGTGAGAGTATTTGGTAATGTGTCGGGTGTAACTACTTGGTTAAAATCATAGCCGAATGTGAGTCTTGTGAGACTTTTTGGTAATGTGCCAGGTGGAACAACTTGGTTAAAACGATGACCGAATGTAAGTGTTGTGAGACTATTTGGTAATGTGCCAGGTGGAACTACTTGGTTAAAATTACTCTCGAATTCGAGTGTTGTGAGACTATTTGGTAATATGCCGGGTGTAACCACTTGGTTAAATTTATTTCCGAATGTGAGGTTTATGAGACTATTTGGTAATGTGCCGGGTAGAACTACTTGGTTAAACATTTTAGAGAATGTGAGTGTTGTGAGACTATTTGGTAATGTTCCGGGTGGGACTACTTGGTTAAAATCATTACCGAATGTGAGTGTTGTGAGACTATTTGGTAATGTGCCAGGTGTAACTACTTGGTTAAAACTATGGCCGAATGTGAGTGTTGCGAGACTATTCGGTAATGTGCCAGGTGGAACTACTTGGTTAAAAAAATGATCGAATGTGAGTGTTGTGAGACTATTTGGTAATGACCCGGGTAGAAAATATTGGTTAAAATGAATACCGAGTGTGAGTGTTTTAAGACTATTTGGTAATGTTTCGGGTGGAATTACTTGGTTAAAACAATCACCGAATGTGAGTGTTGTGAGACTATTTGGTAATGTGTCGGTTAGAACTACTTGGTTAAACATTCTAGAGAATGTGAGAGTAGTAATTGTATTTGGTAAAGCTGTTTGAGGTAACATTTCAGAAAAACCGTACAAATATAAATTTGTTAAAAATGGTGGAAATTCATTTTTATCTGGAAGTGAACCACCATGCCACCTAAGTGTTGTTATATAAGATTTATATTTAAACTGGTAATAGCGGGATTTATCAAGAGCTACAAAACTATGTTCAATAAACTTTAAAATATGTTTATGAATTTCATTTCTTAAAAATATATTATTCCAAACTATATATAATAATCTATAATAAATAGTTAAAAAGCAATTAATATGCTTTTAATTATTTATTGTATTATATTCTACTTACCTATCACTAATATTACTACTGTTTTTTAGCTCTTCATTTACGCGAAATTTAATTAGAGATGATAGTTGCCCATCCATTATTAATATAAAAATAAATAAAAAAATAAAATAAATTAAATAAATTTTACCAAAATTTTAAAAAATATTTTTCTTAAAAATATCTAAAAAATTAAAAAAAACTTTAAAAAAGGATACCAATAAAAAAAATTTAAAAAATTTTTAACCCCCTATTCCACATTTTGAATTACTTGATCCTCATTAATTTCTTCTTCACTCGGTGTATATTCCTTTGGAAAAACTAAAGGTAATACTGATGATGGTGTTGGTGGTTTTTGATAACTCAATTGTAATAATCGATATCATTTTCTTCTGATGATGAATCATTATATTTTTTTTAATTGACTTTGATTTAAAAGTGGAAAGAATGGTTGGCCTTGATTTTTTAGAGAAGAGTCATTATATGGTTCTTGTTTTTCCCTATTTAAAAGTTGATAAATTTCATTTTGTTAAGACAATGATTTATTAAATTCCTCAAAAAGACTTTATTTTTGGTATTCATTTTAATCTTATGCAAGTTCTATATCATCATATTGAATAATTTTTGGTATGTCTTACAATTAAGACAGTGATAATAATTTTTTCTTTTTGTGGCCGAGAGATTGGATTTTGATATAATTTCCAATTGTATTCATAATCATTTTCATCATATAACTTTTTGTTATTCCCAAAAGAGTTGAGTAAATGGGATCCTCTTCTATTATGGAACCATTGATCCTGTAACTATCTTGAATCTTTGTTTAATTTTGATTAATTTATAATATTGTTGAATAAAAATTAACAACTTAAGTATTTTTTCGATTGTTATCATGTCCTGTAATAATGATTTGTTGTTGTTTTAATTTCATAAAAAGGAAAAAAGTATAAATGATAAAATAGGACCTGTTTAATCTATTTTATCCAAATACTTTTTTTACTAAAATTACTATAACACTTTTTTTATATAAAAAAATAATTAACATAAGTAATTAAATATATCCTCTAATAAATGATTTATATTTTAGTTTTTTCCCTAAATATCATCATCCCTCCCACCTGGTGTTTTATAATTAATCTTTTAGAAAAAAATTAAAATTAAAGCTTTTTAACAAATCGTTTTATGAAAGTATAGTGTAATTAATTCCATGGTAACTGTACTTTATTGGTATAATGCGGTAGTATTATTGACTTTAATTTTTTTTTTTGGTTTGTTCCTTTAATTTAATTTATTAACGATTAATGTGATTAATTAAATTAAATTTTATAATAAAAAAAAAAAACAAAACAATATTTTTTAAAAAAAACAATATTTATAAAATTAAAAAAAAAAAAAATGGAAAATAAAAAAAAAAAATTAATCGATTTTAAAATAAAATTAATAAATATATTTATTTTAATTAAGATGTGTATAAGTTTATTTATTTATTTTTGGAGTTTCGACTGGATTCAAAAGTAAATTTTTACCAAACCAATGACCATTTAACATACCATTCCAGTAGGCAAATGGGAAAACATACTTTTTAAGAAACATTGGGAAGTAAGATTCTTTTGATTGATCCCATGGTAAAGATTCTGCTACTTCGTTACCATATTTGAACTCTGCTAAAATAAGTTTGTTATAAGATGTGGTGATTGGACATGATGTGTAACCGTCATATTTGGCCTTTAATGGGAGTCCCATTTTATGTGATATTAAATTACTAACTAAAACTGGTGCTTGAGAGGTAATAGCGGCAGCAGTCTTTGAGGTTGGTAAATTCGAAGAGTCACCCAATGAAAAAACATTATCATATTTTACATGTTGGAGGGTTTCTTTATTAACATTAACAAAACCAGAAGCTGGATCGGCAAGTGGTGAATTCTTGATAACGTCTGGGGCACCCATTGGTGGAGTAACGTGAATCATGTCGTACTTTACTGTTTTGTTGCCTTCTGGTGTTTCAAAGATAGCTTCTTTAGCATCACCTTTGATTTCGATAAGGTTGTACTTAAAGTTTTGAGTAATACCTTTTTCTTTGGCCATAGTATCAAGAGCATCAGAGTATTTCTTTACTGCAAACATTGAAACACCAGCTGTATTAAATTGAATATTGATTTTATTGGCCATACCTTGTCTTCTAAAATAGTCATCAGCTAACCACATAATCTTTTGTGGGGCACCTCCACATTTAATACCTGTATTTGGGAATGTAAAAATTGCAGTATTTCCTGGTTTCATTGACTTTATGAAATCAAATGTTTTTTCGCAGCTATCGTATGAATAGTTTGATGTAACACCATTTTTACCCAAATTTTCTTTTAATCCTTTAACTTTATCCCAATGAATAGCTAAACCAGTTGCAACAACCAAATAATCATAGTCAACTTGTTTACCATCTTTAGTTAAAACAATGTTATCCTAAAAGAAAAAAAAAAATTAATAACAATGAAAAATTTAATTTAAAAAAAAAAAAAAAAAAAAAAAAAAAAAAAAAAAAAAAAAAAAAAAAAACTTACCTCTGGTTTAAATTGAGTAACAGAATCCTTCATCCATGTAGTACCTTTTGGGATACAATCTTTTTCATCCTTTTCACTATCTTTTCTTGAAAAAATACCACCTCCAACTAAAGTCCAAAGTGGTTGGTAGTAATGTTTGTCGCTTGGTTCAATGATAACAATATCACCTTTTGATTTGAAATTATGTTCTAATTGAGACGCAACAGAAAGACCACCAGCACCACCACCTACTACAACAATTTTAGTAACATCTTTTGATTTTCTTTTTTCTTTTTCTGAATCTAATTGTGAACCTGCAATAACGCCATTTGGGAGATTATTATTTTTACTATTAATTGGTGGTGTTGTTAATGCAATAATTATACTTTTGAACATTGTTTTATTATTTTTTAACTAAAAAAAAAAAAAGTGTGAAAATAAATATTAAAAAAAAAAAAAAAAAAAAGAGATATTAATAAATGAAAATTATGTATTGTATTTAAAAAAATTAAAAAAAAAAAATTTTTGAAAAATTAAAAAAATTATTATTAACCCATTTTCGAAAAAAATAAAAAAAAATTAATTAGAGAATACCTACCTCTTTTAAAATCACGTGATAAGTTTATTGGAATATATAAAATATATATAACGATATAATTTGAAAATTTTAAATTTTATAATTGGAATAAATTTTTTTAAATACAATACAAAAATTTATATAAATTATCTGTATAAAAATATCAAATGAATATTTATTAGTTTCACTGATAAAATAAAAAATGAAAAAATTAGTAATACTGGTTAATTTTATACTTTTTTTTTTATTCAAATAAAAAATTAAATAAAATATTTTTAAAAAAAAAACCCATTCAATTTTTACAAGTCAGTTTTTACTCTTATACTATTCACTTTTGTCGTTGATCTCCCAAATGGAAGAGGTACATGGAAGAGGTATAATATTCGATTATAGATCATTTCCATGGTATTTAAACAGAAAATTAAAAAAAAATTTTGAAAACCAAAATTTCGTTGACTTCCCAGAGAATGAAATCAAAATTATAAAAAAAATAAAAAAAAATAAAAAAAACGAAAACATTTTATTTTTTTAATTACTTCCATTATAGAAACTTCTATAGATATTTTAATTTTTTGCTATCAAATAATACTATTATAGTGTTATAAATGTTATCGTTACCTTTTTAATTTTAAAAAATTATATTATAAATTAAAAAAAATAAATTAAATAAAAAAATAAAAAATAGGAAAATAAAAAAAAAATAAAAATAATAAAAATAATAAAAATAATAAAAAAATAAAAAACTTGATTTAAATGATATATGGTGGGGTAATATTAATTTTCAATTATTTTTACTCTGTTTCAAATAATTTAATATAATGTTAAAAAATTGGTTAAATTTGTATTAAAAAAAAAGATAAGTATTATTATTCATTTCAAAAGAAAATTCACATCAAAAAAAAATTCATGAATTTTTTAAAAATATCTAAAAAAATGGAAATTTAAAAAAAAAATTTTATTTTTTTAATTTAAAATAAAAAAAAAAAAAATTTAACCATATAAATTATTTGTATAATAAATCATATAAAAATTTAATAACAATAATATTTGTTACAAACAATAATAATAATATTAATATTAATAAAATAAATAAATATTACTAGTAATTAAAAATAAAAGATAGTTAATAAATAAATTATAAAACAATACAATTTATAAAATGTCTGAAGAAAAGGAATATTTTGCAGTAGAACATCATAGACAAGTTAATGACAGATATATGACATACTATTTGTGTATGTCTGATATAGAAAGATTTTCTAAAAAATATAAAAACTATGTAGATTATTTTAATAAGAAAAAAGCAGATCCAGAGGTACAACGTATTGATGAATGTAGAGCCGTCACCAAAGAATATTGGTCATATGTATGTCAATTAAAAGAAACCTATCCAAATTATTTCCAAAAGAAGAAATCAATTTTATTAGAAAACCATACCGATTTCGTAGATTTAGTTAAACCATTAGACAACGATAAAAATAATATAAAGTTATATGCCTTATAATTGAAATTATATAGAATAATAGCATAACAAAGGATCAATAATTAAATAGTAATAATTTAGTTATATATATAAAAAAAAAAAGAAAAAAAAAAAAAAGTTATATTAGGTATATAATTAAAATAACTTGTTGTAAATAAAATATTTTTTAAAAAACTTTAATAATAAAATTATATTTTATATTTTTTAAACAAACATTTAAAAATATAAAAAAAAACTAGAGTGTTTTTAACATTAATAAAAAAAAAAAAATAGTTTTTCATTTATTATATTATATATATTATTTTAATAATTTAATTTAATTATCATCATTATTTACAAAAAATGTTGGATTATAAAATACTATTGGTGTGTAAAATTCTTCTTTAATTGTTTGAATAGCAGAAACGAGGAATTGATATCTTTCTTTTCTTGTGGTGGTTGGAGTACCTTTAGAAGTTTGTTTGAGATGGTTATCATAAAGTTTAAAGAATCTATTCATAATTTCTTTTTGTTTAGCGAATGGAATAAATAATACATAGCTTATTGGTTTGATCCTAAAAAAATAAAAATAAAATATATTAATATTTAATTATATAATTAAAAAGAGTAAATATTATTTATATTTAAAGACTTACTTTAATAATAAAATTGGAATTTGTGATAGATCGACTAAATCATTATATGTAAATACAACAATTGGGTAAAATTGGTTATTATTATTGATTTCATCAATTAATTTGGTGATATGGTTATTAATTGGAGTTGAAAGATCAAAGAATTCGAGATATTTATATTTCTTTTTAATAATTGAGGGCTTTGTACCAATTTTAATGAGAGCTGAATGATATGGATGGTTTGAATGTACAATTCTATTACCAGCTGGTTTTAATGGTGTAGTGTAGAGGCTGTAGAGAGTTGATTTTAAGGAGTAATCTTTTTTAATAGCATCGGTATTTTGGGCTTTATCCATTTGAGAATAGCAGCAACTAATAAAGAGTGGGGTGGCAGGACATTGATTTTCAGATTCTTCATTGCTACTGATACTAATATAATTACTCTTCAATATATCAAATAATGATTTGAAACGAACAGTGAATTCTGGTAAGATTAATTCCCATGGGAAAATTTGTAAACTCTTTGAACAAATAAATAAAAGTGGTGATGTTGAAACATTGACGGTGGTGACAGTATCGTTCGAATGTAGTTTGGTGGATGATGAAGAGAATAAACCAAAAGGCAATGCTGATTTCACCATTGCTGATGTACTTGATTTCTTTGTATGTTGTGAGGCTTGGGTGGATGATAGTTGACTCTTAAGTTTTTCTTTTTCTGCTGGTAAAATTTCAAAGAGTGAAGAGAATGTAGTGTGTTGAATTTCACTAACAATCTTTTTACGTTCGGCTTCTTCGGCTGGGTTTTTATCAGTTGATACTAGAGAGAGTAAAGAGTTGAATGATGAAAGAATTTCTGGTGTGAATGTGATGGCTTGGTCATTGGTTTTTTGTTGTTGAGCTGAATCAAATGTTGAAAGACTCTTTCTTTCTTCACCAGAATTTACAAAGAGATAAAGCTGGAGTGGATTTTGTTCTGAACATTCACGCATTTCACGATGAGAGAAAACTTTACAAATTTGATAGGAGAGTTGATCGATTGAAATATAAGCTTTAGAGTAAGCTGGATCTTCACTACGAATCATTCTTTTGGCCATTGATACTAGCGATATTTGTTGTGAGCTATAGAATTTTCTACCAGAGCTTGAACCAACACTCATACTTCTGCCATGAATATCTGGGTTTAATAATGCTGGGCTTGGTAAATGTGGATGTGTTGATTGATGTTGATGACTAACGACATGTGTTGTGGTACTTGTAGTTGAAACACTGGAGCTATTTGAGGCAGTATCAGATCTATTAAATTCTCTTTCTGATTTATCAGATTTTTCAGAATCAGATTTATCAGAGCAATTATCACTTGGAATGTTTGGTATGGCACCTCTTCTATTTTGTGGTGGGGAGTCTGGTGGATTTGAGCTTGTTAATGGTGGAGTACCAGTTGAGGTAAATGTGGGTGAAACATGATGGGATAATTCATCTTCATTTCCTGTTGGTGGACCAATGGTTGTAGTTAAAAATGAAATAAATTCTGTATGGAAATTTTGTGTTTTTTCAATAAATTTGGGTGATGACTTGAATGAATTTTGATTAGCTCTGCTAAATGAACCAAAGAATGATTTCTTTTTGGTTGATGATGGATCGAGATGTGGATCGTTTGGTGAAGCACCAGGTGAAGCCCAATATGGACGATTACAAAGGAATAATAAAATCTTTTCTAAAGTTATTAAAGGTGAAACTACAAACGAAGCTTTTTCATTAGCATTTGAGAGTAAATATATTTCAAGATATAAAATATTTGATGGTGGTGCTAAAGGTGTTAACTCTTCAGTTGCGCCAATTCTATTAAATTTCTTTCTGCCTGAGCTTGGAACATAATGAATGAAATAGTTATCAATTTGTAAAGAAATTACTAATCTTTGAAGCGAAGCATTTATACGACTGGTTGAGGAGTTGAATGAAATTTCCTCATATTTTGATGCATTATTTCTAACTGTTCCTGGACCAGCATTAGATGGTGTTCTATTTCTACTATTATCAAGAGCGTTTTTGGTTTGGGCTCTAAAAAGACTGGCTAGATTATTTGAACTAAATGGGTGTTGTAATGGTGAAGAGCCACCTGATGATGGACTATTGCTAAATGATTGTTGTGTTTGTTGTTGTTGCGTTTGTTGTTGTGGACTACCTGCAGGGCTATTGCTACTATTACTACCACCAAGATAACTATTACTGATATGGTTTTTATATGATTGCATAACTTTTAAAATTTGTTTAATGATACCTTTATCACGAGTGGCCAATTCTTCTTGAGTAATTTTACCAATTGAATATTTTCTAATTTCATTTTTAATTGAATGGAAAGATCCCCAAATTTTTTCACCAACTTCATCACCGGTTGAAACACTTTTTTCTTCATCTCTAGTCTTTTCATTGAAAACTTTCAAATTGAGTGGATCATCTTTACCTTTACCATTTGGACTACCGGCCATTGCGGAGCCTTTGGAGCCAGGTGTACCGTTGCCGCCGCTACCACCAACTTTATTGTTTACAGAGAATGATACTTCCATACGATTCTTTTTGAAGCTTCTACCAATTGTTAATGATTTATAAGCATATGGTACATAAATTTTATCGATTTGTGGTGTTGATTCGTAACCTAATGGTTTTGAAGAATGAATTGGACGTTGTTTAGCTTGTTGAATATCGATTTCTAAATTTAAATAACTATCAATCAACATTAAATTCTTGTTGATGAGCTCTTGATCAAATGCAAAGAGGAAACGGAGCATACGTTTACAAATAGAGTAAATCTTTTTGATGAATTGGAGTGGTGCAGATTTTATAATTAGTGATGGGCCATCAAAGAATAGGGTATAGTAGAGATTTCTGCACTCATTCCAATAGCTAATGGCAAGATCACGGTCACCTTGAAGGAATTTTAATTCGGCCATGTTCATATAACTTCTAAATAATAATAAAATATTGCAGGTATCGATATTGATATCCATGGCCAATATAGCTGGATTTTCAATAAGTTCAAAACTGATATAAAATTCTTTTAATGTTTGAGTGGCTGGGTTGGATGATGCTGAATCGGTTGAATTGGTTGATGAACGAAGTGAATCTTTCTTCATCTTTCTCTTTTTCAAATCTGATAATTGTTGTTCTTGTTCGCTATCTTTTTGGATAAGCTTTGATTGTGGGAAATGTGGAAGACGTGCTACATCGTCAAATGGATAGTGTAAAAGTGCAACTGGACCAAATACACGGTCTAAATAGGTTTCAGCAATACGACTAACAGTCTTTTGAATTCTAACATCGTCACTAATAGATTTAAAGTAGTGGTAGGCTCTCTTATAACTTGCGACACATTCTTGAATTAAATCACCAGTACAATGATAATTGGTAGTTGTGCATGAGTCGACAATCTCTTTCCAGTCATCACCAGTTGGACGGAGAGTGGTTGGAAAAGTGACAAGAGTGGCATTTGAGAATGATACTAGTTTTTGTAAAACTTTACCACGAATATAGAAATAATGACCTCTGGCATTTAATGATGAGGTTGGGCATGTTTCAATGGCACATTCGATACAAACCAATGCCTCAGAGAATTTATTGGAGTGATAATAATTTAAACAATTTAATTCCCAGTACTTTAGATTACGTTCGGTTTTATTACCACTACTTCCACCATTACGGAATGGTCCAGAGTTTTTAAGATTTCTATTTGCCCCACTGCTATTTGTGAATGATGAACCAGATGAGTTTGATGAGGTTGATGAATTTAATGATGATGGGAAATGTGGTGAATCATCATTATCCAATTGTGATAAAAGACTTGTGCATTCATCAAACCATTCCTTTTTAGTATAAGCTTTGGCCAACATGAATATTAAAGAATTTAACTTTCCGTGTGGCAATGGATGCTTTTTCATAAACTCTAAAAGACTAAGACCCTTTTCGAAATGATAGCTTTCTAAATAGAGTTGAGCCATTTTAAGTTGGAATTGGAAGAAAATTGGATTATCAAATCTTGGTGTATCTGGAACTTTGTTGAGACTTGAAGAGATTGAAACTTCAGATGATGATGGAGATTGTGATGGTTTTGATAGAATAAAGTAAACTACCTTTAAATATTCTTCGGCTTGTTTATAGTTTCCTTTTTCCCAATACAATGTGCTAATAGTTTCACATAGATAAATAATTTCATTTGTTTTACTTTGTGGATCGTCTTCTAAATAATTATTTAAAATTTGTCTGTAATAATAAATAGCTGATGGTATGTCATCATTTTCTCTGGCTAAAGCTGCAACTTTACGTAAGAGTGAACCATATTCTTTCTTTTTTCTAATATTATAATTTAATAAAGCATTATCGTAGGAGATAATAGCATATTGATATTTAAAGTTGTCTAAAAGTACACTTGCATAGCTAATTGAAGCATTTGCTGCTAATTCTGATAATACTAGTGGTAAGCCAATGGCTGGTTTATGGCAATTGTCAATAATATAAAGACATTCGAAAAGGAACTTCTCTGCTAAAACAAGATCGTTTAAATCTACAGCATTTAGACCTAAAGCATAGGCTGCTTTAGCTTTAAGGAATGTTGGAGGAATTTCTGGATATATATCGGCTAAAAGTTTCATACGATGATTTGCATCTAATAATTCGATACCACCATTTTGTACATCAATGTCCGAAATGTAAACTTCGTCCGTTAATCTTTTAGTGGTCAATGGTGAAATACCATTCAAATGGAAATGAATTGCGACTAATGATCTAACAACTGCATTCTTTACACCTGTTTCTAAAAACTCTTTATTTGAATTAACTGATCTATAAATATGTTGATTTGAATTTGATGGTGAAAGGTTATGTAAAGAACTTGTGGATAATGATGCTGATACCGAAATTTTTGATGGTGTCGATTTAATTGGTGATGGTGATGGTGACGATATATTATTGTTTTTATTAATGGCGCTATTTGGATTATTTAAAATTGATTGGCAATATTGATATACTCTAATAAATTGTCCAAGTGGATTAGTTTTCTCTTCTTCCATAGAGGAGAATTCATTGGGTCTAACTCTAAATTCTGGTTCTTCATTTTCGCTAGAGCTTGAATCTGTACTAATATCTTCATCATCACTATTATCATTGGCTCTATTTTTATTATGTAAATGGTGAGAGTAACATTCTGCGACAATGATATCGACATGGGGAGCATTGGTAGTTGAAAGATTTCTTAAACCTTGATACATATGTTTATATGATGCATCTTCATCGATAGTCCAAAGCTTTGATGCTAAATAAAGCATTTGAAGTGCATAGTGAAAAGTACTTTCTTTATCCTCTAACTCTTGTCTTCTTTGTTTCTCGGATGGTGCCATTGATGGTGGTAAAACTGTTCCACCTAGACCTTGTCTGCTATAGTTACTCGATGAAGCAGCAGCAACACAATCACGGAGATCAGTAAAAAACTCCATAATTGTGTCCCAACATAGATCATCATGTCCAAAAATATGAAGAGTGTAACAAAACTCTAAAGCAGCATGAGCCCAGACTTTTGGATTCTTTTTATTTTTAACTTGGTCTTGTGCGTAGTCATTTCTTAACTCTTCAATAGATGAACGTTGTGGTACAACCCTAAGAGCACGGTCTTCACCTTGTAATTGTTTAATAATAATTCTAGATAGCCATTGAGAGAGTGCTTCTTCGTGAAGGAATGGGTGACCATCTGGAGTGACCATAGAATAAAGGTATGATGGCTTTGGATATTTTACAATTTCAAAGTTTTGATTATTAATAGTATCTAAAAGTTTATAGTGGTTTGACATACGATCTTTACCATTATTATTAGCTACAGCTGGGCTTTGACCTGCCAATTGTAAAACTGGTCTTCTATCTTCCTCTTCGTCCAAACCTAGTTCGGCATCCCAATCTTCTTCGTCTTCATCAGAGTTATCGGATGAATCAAAATCGATAGCTGTAGTGTTATCTGCTTCCTGTTGTTGTTGATGTTGTTGCTGTTGTAATTTCTTTAATTCATTTAATAGTGATATTGATTCAGTTTCTTGTAATTTAATTGAATTAATTAATTGTTGATTTATTATATTTAAAATGATTTGTTTATTATTATTGTTATTATTATTATTAATATTATTATTGGTGGTAGTAGTATTACATTTTGATAAAGAAAATATTGAACGTTTTATATAACCCAATGCTAAATCATATTCATTTAATTGTTTTAAAGTTTTTGACATTTGAAAACATGCTATGGCTATATATCTCCATTCCTTAATCTTCTTTTGATTTTCGGTATTTAAACATTCTTTATTGTGATTATGTTGTGCACAGTGTGAAAATAATACAAGACGTAATAATTGTTCGAAATATTTGGTTGAATATACAGGTGTTTCAGTAGTTTGATATGCTAAACCTAACTCTAATAGTATTTTCAATTGAATTGGTGATTGTATTGATTTGTCTTTATTGGAAACTTCTAATGCTTTCTTTAGATATTCTGTAGCATTGAAAATATTGGCCATTGTCTTTGCTGAAATACCTAAATTATAATAGAGCTCCAATTCATAGGCGTCATTATTTTCATCGATTGGTGTATTAAAATCCTCCTTATAATCTTGATAAATCTTATTAGCAGTACTAAATTGATTGAATGCAAATATATTTTGTTGTTGTTGTTGATAAATTAAACCAAGCTCGTAATAACTCTTTGAAATCTCTAATTTATTATTATCACCTTTTAATTCTTGTAATTCAATAAATGATAATTGATTATCAACTTTCTTTTTAAATTCTAAATCTAAAGGGAAAAAAAAAAAAAATGAAAAAAAATATTAATATTACACTAAAAAAACTAAAAAATAAATAAATTAATGATATCCTACCTGTTAATAATTTTGGGATATTATTTACTGGTGATGGAGGTATTTGGAAATTTGATTCAATATCGGTACCAACTAGAAATGAAAAAAATAAAAAACAAGTTAATATTAATTTTTAAGTTTTTAATAATATAATATAATTAAATAATATTTACAATTTATGAATGATAATAACTCTGTAACTGTATGTGAAACTTTATCTGAAGGTATATTTACACCAGACTTGGCTCTTGATAAAATATTTATTGCTGGAGTTAAAATTGATTTATTTTCACTTTCGGAACTATCATTGAAAACAAAATCATCATCCCATTCAGTTTTAATTGTTGGATCTGCTCTGATACCTAAAATTTTCATTTGTGGTGCTATTGGTGAACCCATACCGCTAGTACTTGAGTCCCCAAAATCGGCATCCCACTCGTCTGCTACTGATTCTTTTCTTGCCTGTAATACACTTTTTGAAGGTGATTCTAAATGGCTATCCCAATCATCATCGTCATCATCCTCTTCACTAAAATTTTGTATGCTAGTTGTTAAACCTGTTCTTTTTGGTGTTGTAATTGATGATGTTGTGGCTGTATTTGCTTTATTGGTCGTGCTACTTGTTGTTGTTGTTGCAGCCGATGTTGATGAAGTTGATGTTTTTAATGCTGGTTGTAAATTTAATTTATTAAAACTGCTGCTTTTACTATTTGTAATTCTGTTATCATTATTTGTTGATAAACTATTATTATTACTACTATTATTATTATTATTATTATTAACACCTTCCATTAAATCTATTTTTGATTTTTTCTTTGATAAATTTCCAATTGTTAATTTTCTTTGTAAAGAAGATGTCATTTGTTGCTGTGATTCTGTTGAATCAATTTCGAAATCGGCATCCCAATCTTCATCGTCACTCATTTTTATCTTGAATTCTATATATATTGAAAATATATATGTTATATAGTGTGCTGAGTATTGTAAAAAAAAAAAAAAAAATATATTAGGTTTTTTTTTTTTTTTTTTTTAATTTTTTAAAATTTATTTATTGTGTGAGTGGTGTTTTGGTTGTTGTTTAATAATTATTTGTATTTTGAAAATAAATGATAATTTAAATGCTAATTATTTATTATTATTATTTTATTATTAATATTAAATAATAATGATATTTTTGATTTGATTTTTAAATTATCAATTATTATTGCTGATAGATAAAAAAAATAGTATATATCCCCATAAAAAAAAAAAGAAAAAGAAAAAAAAAACAAAGATTTATTGGTGATTAAAGTGTGTTTATTTGTGTTGTGTGAATATTATTAATTTTTTTATTTTTTAAAAAAAAAAATATACAGAAAATTATTATTATATATACAACAAACAACAATAATTATAATAATGTTTTTTAAATGTTAAAATAATTAATTGTATGTATGTGTGGATTGAGAAGGGGAAAAGAGCGAGAGAAATATATATTATTTATATTTTCTTTCTGCTTGATCCTTCATATCATTAATGATGCGAGTTTTTTATATGAGAAAAAAATTTATAAAAAAAATTTTAAAAAAAAAATTTTAAAAAAATTTAAAAAAAAAAAAAAAAAAAAATTATAAAAAATATTTCTTTTTTGATTTTTTTTTTATTTTTTTTCTTTTAATAAAGATAATCTTTGCCAAAAAATGAATTTTTTTTTTTAAAATCACCAAACCCAATTGGGATTTTGCATATCTTTATTGTGTGGTGTTCAAAAACACAACACAATAAAATGCGAAATTATAATATGGTTGTATTTCATTGTGTTTGTTAGAATAAAAAATAAAAAATAAAACAGTAAACAGATTGCATTTAAATAAAAAAAAAATCCATATTTTTTTTCTCTTTTAAAAAATTGATTCTTAAAATAGAATTTTTTTATCTGTTTTTATTATTTATTTAATTTTACAAAAAAAAAAAAAAAAAAAAAAACCTACCTATAATTAGTTTTTTTTTTTTAATAAATATTTATACATTATTATGATTATTACTATATATTATTAATATTATTATTTTTTAAATAACCTTGTCGCATTTAGCAAGGAGTACCCAAACAATTCCACCACTAATATAGAATGCAGCAGACATTGAAAAGATTTGATCCCAAGAACCATTGAAGGCTTCTAATAAAATACCTGCAATTAATGGACCTAAAATACCTGGAATAGTAGCAACAGTACTATAAAAATAAATAAAAACAATATTAATATTAACATATATTATTAAAACAATCAATTATTAACATTTTTTTAAATTAATACAAACTTTGTGATACCCATAGTAATACCAGCGTAACGTGGTGAAAGATCAAGTGTAACCATTTGTGTGCCACCAGCGTTAAAACCATTGCAACAAATTACAATTGTTAAAAAGATAATTTTAGCAGATGGAGTGGCATCTTTAAGGAAAGCGGCTAAAAATAAGAAAATACCTGGGACAATAGATGCAACGATACCAAATCCTTTACGAATAAAAATTTTACGGACACCCTTAGCCAATAATTTATCAGCAAGTAAACCAGAACCATTACCAATAACAAAAGATAACATGTATGGAACGGCATTGTAAAATGCATATAAGGTACCTTTATTATAACCAAGTAAACTAAATAAATATGTTGGATACCACATTAATAATAAATAGAAACCTAAAATAAAATAAATAAAAAAACTATTAATACCAAAATAAAACATGTTGTATTATATAAAACAATGAGATATTTACCCCAACTTGTTACTAAATTATAATATAATAATGCTAAAAGACCTCTTGATGTTAATAAAGCTTTAAGAACTACTGGGAATGGTAATTCAGGTTCCTCTTTAGCAGATGCTCTATTTTCTTGATTAAAGCTTGCGCCATTTGGACTAAAGAAATCGTCTTCGGCATTGTTTGTTAAAAGTGGTGAGGTTTCAGTTGAACCTTGCTCTTCATTGTAGGCAATGAATGCGACTTCATTTGGATGAATTCCAATTGGTACGTCTTTTGGATGATCACGGATGAAAATCAACCATAAGATGGACCAAATCAAACCAGATCCACCAAAAATATAAAAGGTTGCTTGCCAACTAAGGTAATCTAAAATAATTGGTGCTACAAAATCAATAAAAATTGTACCAATATATACACCTAATAATGAAAAAAAAAATTAATATTAATACATTATACTTTAATAGGTTTTTTTTTTTTTTTTTCTTATATAATTATTTACCTGACCAAATTGAAGCAGCGGATGATGATCTTTGTGAGGATGGGAACCATCTACTAATTAACCAATTTAATGTTGGGAAAGTGATACCTTGGGTTAAACCAGTGAAAATTCTAATGGCAACTACAGCACCCTTGCTTTTGGCAGCAACTGGAATTAAAAGAGTAGATGCAATACTGAGAGTTAAACCAACTAACAAAGTTCTTTTACCTCCAAATCTTTCGTTAAAAAATTGAGCCAAGAGCTGAGTGGCAACATAACCCATGAAAAAACTTGATAATAATATACCTTTGAATGTACTGTCCCAGCCATACTGCTCGCTCATATCTGTAATACATGTACTAATGAGTACACGAACAAGATATGCAAATGCCAAACCTAAAAAACCCAATATTACCAATAAAAACCTTCTTGGAAAGTAATAAGGTGGTGTTGGAAACATTACACTATAGTCTACTGCATTCTTTGATTTCTTTGAACCGTTGGTCATATCATTTTCTATTTTACTGACCATTTAATGAATGGATATATATAAAATTATTATTATTATATAAAAAATATATATAAAAAAAAAATATAAAAAAAAGTTATCAATTATATTACTACTACTACTATATGTTATACTATTACTATTACTATTACTTAATACTACTATTATAATATTATACTATAATCTATTATTATTATTATAAATATTTATTATTATTACTACTATTATTACAATGGAATATAATTTTTAAATTTTATTTTTAAAATTTTTTTGAAAAATTAAATTTTTTTTTATTTTTTTATTTTTTCTTTTTTAACAAATATTTATGTATTTTTTTGTATACAGAATTTGTGAGTTTTACAAATAAAAAATAAAATTGTATTTGGCCAAAAAAAAAAAAAAATAAAAAAAAATAAAAGATTAGTTGGGTAACCAAAATGATAAGTTTTATTGTGTCAAAAAAATCAAAAAAAAAAATTAAAAAAAAATAAAAATTTAAAAATTTAAAAAAAAACTATCACATCCTGGGATTATCCTTTTTTCATAAAAAAAATAAATTTAAATAAAAATATTATTCGAGAGAACCAGACGATTCTTTTTTCTTTTTTTTTTTTTACCAAATACTGTTTCAATTGGTTTTTATGTATTTTTTTTGGTTTACATATACTTTCATCATCACAAAATAATTTTTTTTTATTTTCCCATCAACACAGATTTCTTTATTATTTAAATTATACGAAAAAAAAAAAATAAAATAAAAAAAAAAAAAATAAAAAAAAATAAAAATACGAAAATTTCTGGGTGTCACTCCAATTACACAATGCCCAAAAACAGTTTTTCGAAATTTTACTCTAATTAATAATAAATAAAATTGTAACATAACAATCAAAAAAAAATAAAAAATAAAAAAAAAAATAATAATATTATTGACAATACACACTGAATTTTTAATTTTTTTTTCAACTTAAAAAAAAAAAAATTAAAAATTTTAAGTTGTGTAATGATAATTTCATTTTCGAATTCTATTGAAAAGTGGTTTTGAAATTTCCATAGTCATTTCATAGGATTTTGACATCTCCAAAATAATTTTTAAAAGAAAAGTCATTGGATTGGTGATGCATATGAGGATGGAATTTTTTTTTTTTTTTTTTTTAATTTTTTTTTTTTTTTTTAAGATTGACAGTTTTACGGTATTTGATTTAAATATTTTTTCGAAGCTTTGAAGTTAGTTCTAAATGTAACTATTATTTTCAATTAATTATATAATCATCTTTGGATTTTATTTCAGCAGATTACCATATTGACTGTAAATAGATTCGGATCTTTGAAGATGCAAGTGGTATTTACAGCTCGTTAATATGGGATATTTTTATTTTGAGAAACTAGCAGGAATTAGTCATAATGTTCCTGTGTGGAAGTGGAATATGAAAACTGTAATCGATGATTGATTTAGTTTTTTTAGTATTGTTTTTAGTTTTGTTTTAATTTCACCATTAAAATTTTTTTTTTTTGGTTTTTAAATGGGGTGGGTGAAAAGTGAATTTTATTATAATGATCCATTTTAAACTAAAATAAATAATTTTAGTATAACAATTAACAAATATATTTTATTCATATATATAAGGTTATTAAATTCATATTTTTAGTTTTTTTTTTTATTAATAGTTATGCCATGCTGGCTATTACCCTAAAAAACGAACCTAGGTTAGATAACCTTTGATATCATATCGAAAAAAAATTTAAAAAAAAATTAAAAATAAAAATTAAAATTTTTTTATTTTTTTTTTTTATTTTTAAAATTTTTTTTTTAAATTTAATTAGTTAGTAATAAAGATAAAAATATGATATAATATATATAAATACAATGTCATTTTTTAAATCTATTAAAACTAAAATAGAGGAAACATTAAATCACTCACCTCAACAACAATCACAATCACAATCACAATCACAACAACCTCAGCAACAACAACAAAATACCAAACCATTATCAGATTCAAGAAATAATTCAACAACAAATTTAAATAATTATACATATAAATACGCCTATAGTTATGATAACTTGGGTGATAACAATTCATCAGTTACAAAAAATCAAATAAAGGAAAATACAGATAATTCATCATTAAATAAACAAATAATATATGCAACAAACGATTATGGTGATAAACCAACAGTAAATAGTAATAGCAATGATGATGATAATAAGAGTACAAATGATAATAGTGAAGAAGTTATTATAAGTAATGATTATAGTAATGATGACCAATTTATAGATATTTCAACTATACCGAAACTAGAATTGGATGATAATGAACAGTATGAACGTATGTATTTGTTTTTTTTTAATTAAACTTTGGTTTTTTAATTTAAATCATTAATTTCTTTCTTTTTAGATTTTATTAAAATTTGGGGCAGTGGTATAAAAAATAAAAAAAATCAAGTTATTTCATTTTCAAGAGATTTTTTAAAAGAAAAAGTTGTATTTATATCAACAGGTGCAATACATACATCAATTATTACAGATAAAGGACATTTATATACATGGGGTGATGGGTTATTGGGTAAATTGGGACATGGTACATTGGAGTCTTATAGCGAACCACGCTTGGTAGAGTTTTTTGAAACTAAACCATCTTTAAGAGTTGTGTCAGTGGCAAATGGTGGCAAACATACAGTTGCATTAACAGTTTGTGGTAATGTTTATTCATTTGGTGGTAATGATAGTTGCCAATTAGGTTTGGGTAATATATCTTCATCATATTATAGTACACCCCAATTAGTAACATTCCAATCACCTCAATCATTATCAAATTCAAATTCATCCTCGCCTATTATAATGTCAAATTCAACATCAACACTATTTAATAAACAACAACAACAATCTAGTAATAAAATCGATAGAATAATAAAATTATCTTGTAGTACAAATAGATCAGCTGCTATTTCTAAACTTGGGTATCTTTATACATGGGGTAGAGGTGATAATGGCAGATTGGGTCATGGCGATTCTTTAATGCAATCAACACCAAAGCAAGTAATGTCATTACACGGCCATACTATTGTAGATATGTCTTTAGGAGGGGGTCATTCAATGGCGCTTACAAAGAGGGGTGAGGTATTTTCATGGGGACGTGGTGAAAATGGTCAATTAGGTCATGGTACTTTTACATCTCAACAAATGACACCAAAACAAATTCAAGCATTTCAAAATAAAACAATAAAGGTTATTTCCGCTGGTGGATACCACTCAATTGCTATCGATACTAATGGTAGTATGTTTGCATGGGGAAGAGGTGACTATGGTGTGTTGGGTGTAAGCTCATCTTTAGATTCATTGGGTGATATAAATTCACCAGTATTAATAAAGTCTCTCAACAATAGTAATGGTAGTAATAATAGTAATAGTAGTGCTGGGGAAAGATTTATTAATGTTTCAAGTGGTTTCCAGCATAATGTAGCACAAACTGAAAATGGAGATTTATATTCATGGGGTTGTGGGTCTGGTAATAGATTAGGTTTAGCAAATGAAGAAAATCAATTAATACCAAAAAAATTAAATGATAGATCAAATAATTCAAAACCAGCTTTCTTTTCGTGTGGAGAAATTATAACAATAATAGTTGAAAAAAAATTAATCGAAAATAGTGATACATCAACATCCACACCAATCAATACAAGTTCTGGTATAACGAAAAGTACAGGCGATGATAGTAAAGAGTTAGTACTTCCAAAGGAATATAGCAGTGAAAATTTAAATGAAATTGGTAAAAAATTATCAGGATCATTAACAATTAGTGGCAATGCATTTAGTAGCTCACCATTACAACCATTAGTATTAAATCCATCGCAATCAAAAAGACCATCATCACCAACCCCATCATTTGTATCATTAGCCAATGAAAAGCATTCACCCGTTAATGTTTTATTAAATAATACACAAAATTCATTAATTGAATGGATGACCAATGTTTCAAAATCAAAGCAAATTTTAAATATAATTCAAATTAAACCAACTACACAATTAGTAAACTTGGGGCTATCATTAGAAAAGAAAACAAAAGATTATGATGATACATTACGATCACTTAAATTATCTGTAAATAAAATTTTAAAGTCAAATAACAATAATAATAAACCAAATGAAATAGCACAGGATATTGAACAATTAGTTAAAACTAGAAATCAATTGGGTGAAGAGTTAATTAATGAATATAAACAATCAGTTGAATATTGGTCAGATATTAAAAAACAAAAAGAATTAAATTTATTGCAATTAAATAAAATATTAAAATATTTTAATAATAATCAACTAAAATCAAAGCAAGATCAAGAGCAACAAGAAGAGCAACAAAACCAACTTTCGTCAATTGAGATTCAAAAGCAAAGTTTTTATTTAATAGAAAAGTTAAATTCAAGTTTAATAAATTTCTGTAATAACATAATTGAAGGTAGTAATAACAATAGCGAAAAGTTTGAATCTCTTAGGTTATCAATGGAGGAAATCCAATTAACAATTTTAGAAACACTCAAGTATGGTGAACGTTATAGCGAAATTTTAAACACTCAATTAATACAATGCGATGGTTTAATCAATGTCCACAGAGGTAAAGAGTCCGAAATAGAACATTTATTATCAAAAAGAGTTGAAGCTCAACAATTATTAGAACAGCGCGAAAAAATTAAATCTGATTATAGATCATGCAAAAGAAATAGTATCGAAATTGGCCGAAAAATTGAAGTTTTAGAATTAGACTCTGACGATAACAATTTAAGTGAAAGTGACAACGAAGATGACCCATCACCATCCACGTTAAAGTCAAATAATAGCCATAATAATATCTGCATAAATAATGAAAATCAATTAACATCATTAAAGGATCAATTAGTTAAATTTAAAAAGGATGAGCAAAGATTAATAAATTTACAACAAGAAACCAATGATTCACTTTTAAATATTATCGATAAATATGTACCAGAGTTCAAAATAAAACTAAAACAGCAAGATAAGATTTCAAATAGAGTCAAAGATACAGGTCTATTAGTCTCTGAAAGGAAATTCCAACATTACGATATTTTAAAGACTTTGGCAACTCATCCACACAATGTATATTTAGCAAGCTTTGATGATCAAACTGTAGTATTAAAAGAATTTGGAATTGGTGATCAATTAGGTAAACAAATGTTTATACGTCAAGTGTCTTTAATGAAATTAATGAGCCACAAGTGTATAATGCCAATTCAAGCTGTATTTTATGATAGAAATGCATTTATGCAAATGGAGTATATTCCAGGTGGTAATTTAATTAATTGGTTATTAAATAATAATAGTAATAATAATAATAATATAAATATAAATAATCAGCAAATATTTAATCCAACAAACCAACCAACATTTAATAGAAAACCCTGGGAAATTCAAAAAATGTTTCAACAAATTATTCAAGGAATTGCTTATATGCATTCAAATTGTATTATTCATAGGGATTTAAAATTAGAAAATATATTAATTAGAGAAGATGGTACACCAGTTATCAGTGACTTTGATCTTAGTAAGGATATTTCAATTTCATCTGCTAATGCAACATTATTTAATGGTGGTACTGAACTATATAAAGCTCCAGAAATGAAAGAGCAAGGTGTTAAAGGTAATTACTCTACAGATATTTGGGCATTTGGTGTTATGCTTTATAAAACTCACTTCCCTAGAGCAAGGGAGCCTATATTATTACCTGAAGAAGAGGCTGTACCAATGCCATCGTTAATCTATCATGGTGGCGAGCAGCAACATCAGGTTGATCAAAGATTATCATCTCTTCTTTCAAGCATTCTTCAAAGAAATCCACAGCTTAGACCATCTGCACATCAAGTTGCTGTTCATCCTTATTTTGTGACTTCGTTGGTTGAAGATCTACTATCATCTAGAACTCTTATTGATAGCCGTGAAAAAATTGCTGCATTCAGAGCTCATGTTTCATCATTATCAGAAATGGCGGAGGAAATGGGTGAATCAATTCAATTAACCTTGCGTCGTGATAAGATCGTGTCCGAGCTATTCCAGTTTTTCCATAAAAAAATAGAGCAAAACAAACTATTTTCAAGATTAGAGGTATCTTTTCAAGGTGAAAAAGGTTTGGACCATGGTGGATTGCTATCTGAAATGTACTCTTTATTATTTAATGACAACCAGATTATCCAACAAGTAAATCAAGAATTAGAAAATATTCAACAACAAGATCAACAACAGCAATATGAATTTAAAAGTATATTTTCAAAGAGATTTAATTTATTCGAAACCAGTGGAACAGATTCACCATTTTTTTTATTAATTTCGGGCGAATTATTTAATAATGAAAATGACAAATTGAATAACCCACTTTATTCAACACTAAAAAGCGAGCAAGCTATATTCAAAGTTTTAGGTAGAGTTTTTTTAAAGGCAGTTATTGATGGCAAACCTATACCAGATGTTTTCCCACCTTCATTCTTTAAATATTTACTCAACATTAAACCAAATCTTCAAGATTTAGAAGTTTATGATCCACAATTAGCTCTTAGTTTTAAAAAAGTTTTAGTATTGGACAATATCGAAGATTATTTAACAACTACATTCGAAGGTTTAATCGAAGGTGGCGAAAATATTGAGGTTACAGATTCAAATAAAGAGGATTTCATTCAAAAAAATATAGAAAGAGTATTGGTAGATTGCAGACAATCAAAGCTAGAAGCATTTAAATCTGGTTTCATGTCTATTGAAAGTTTAAATGCCCATTTTGCTTTATTCTCTCCAACTGAATTACAGTTATTAATGTGTGGTAATACTTTAGTAGATGCATCAGTTTTACAAAAAAGTTTTAAATTTATTGGTTTCCCAGATTCAAGCAACACACCCAAATTCTTTTGCAAAGTTATTGAAGAAATGTCACAGGATGAATTACATTTATTCCTCAGATTCCTTACTGGTATGGTAGTAATTCCATTACAAGGTCTAGAAAAACCTTTATCAATTATAAATGTTCCTAAAAGTGAAAAGCTACCTTGTGCTCATACCTGTAGTTATCAATTAGATTTACCAGACTATAACGACTTGGATTTGTTAAAAAGAAAATTAATTCAGATGTTAGAATGGGTAGAGGGTTTTGGTTTTATTTAATAGAAATACAAACAAATAAAATTTATTTCAAAGTTTGAAAATATTTAAAAATTTCTTGGGTTTTTATGGGTAACAAGCATTTTATTTATTTTCCATATGGACACAGGCCGATTATACACAAATACAGATAGTTTTTTTTTTTTTTTTAATTTTTTTATCTTTCAAAACTATGAAAACAAATAAAATAAATAAAAATTTATTTTCTTATCACTTTGTATTAAAAAAAATATTTTATTTGTATTTTTTTATTATTGTTATTTAAAAAAATAAAAATAAAGGTTTAAGCTTCATTAATTTTATTTAAATTAATCTCTTTACCATTAACTACAACTATATTTCTTTTTCTTCCTCTATAAATTGAAACAACTATGACAGCTATTGCAAAAGCAATAATAGGTAACACAACACAAAGTGCAATTTTCCAAGATTCGAATTTTTTACCACAACTACCACTGATTGAAAGATTACTATCGACTAATACACCAAAATTTGGATCAATAACTGCTGATGTTTTAAAATTAGAAATTGAAATAGCTGTATAAACATTTTGAATACTTTTTGTTTTATCTGAATCATTTTTTGAATCATCTTTTGATACCGATGGAATACCTATAGACTCTTCCTCTGTTAAAACCTTAATGTCACTTTTAATAATTCTATCATCAATTCTCATACGATTGCTGAATGTACCAACCAAAGTTTGACCATTAACAAGAGTTAGTTTTACTGATCTAATGGAATCACCATACATTTGAATATTTTGCTGACCTGTTAAAGTTTGAGAATCACATTGTTCAGTTGAAATTTGTGATTGGAATATTAATTGCAATGAATTTACTGAACTGTCGAAATTCCAGTTGCTGATTTCAACTTGATATTTAACAGAATTTGGTAGAAGAGTGATATTATCACCATAAAAATCATAAATCATTTCTAGATTTTCATTTGAATTAATTGTTAAAAGTGCTTTAATTATTGCATTGTTACCTAATGTTGTATTAAATAGTTGCTCTGTGTTTTCATTTATACTTTGTTCTAATTTCCAAATTGATGTAGTTAAGTTATAAACTTTTATTGGATTATTTGTAATATCTAACTCTCTTATTTGTGCTAAACCAATGTCGAATTTAGAATCATTGGTTTCAATGATGGATGTGGTGTTATCGATTATGGGTGGATTTATTTGGCCATTGTTTATATTGGAGCAGTCAAAGCCAGAGTACCCCTTTTTACAGTTACATTTTCTAGTTTCTTCAATACAAGTGCCATTTCCTGAGCACACTTGACCATTAAAGCCTTTACTTAAAGCACATTCATCAATTGAATACATAAAAACATCACCACTACCAACTGGATTAGAATCAGGAGAATTTTTGGGGCAGGATACTGTAACTCTGTGGGTTTTAGTTAAACCCTCAACATCAGAGTTAAAGGTGCATACTATTACACCTTCATAAAAATCCGTTGATTTTACTACACAATCACTCCCACCAATTGTAACATTTGGGTAAAAGCAAAAAGATTCACCTTTAATAGTAATATCCTTGGGTGTACCATAAAAAGATGGAGATGCGCTTAAAACAGATGGTGGAAGATAAAGATCAAGATAGTTTTGACTTGTGTCTGATTCAGAAGGAAATAGAGCGTGAAAATTTAATCCATTAGGAGTTGGTTCTTTATAATCATCCATTATACAAGTTGCATTGTATTCTTGATTACCCAAATATTTAACAATTGTTATATTTTGACATGGAATTGGGGTATATAATGATAAATCATTATAACCAAAATTTAAAGAATAGGTTGTAATATTCTTTTCATTAGATGGATACAATCCATACCCCTTAAATCTAAATACTCCTCCTTTACGAGGAATCTTTTCCCATGCTAATGTATTTAAATTTACTGATATCATAAAATTTTGGGTTATAAAATCATTAGACTTTGAGTTTTCACATTGTAAATAAGGATACCCTCTGATATATTGAAATTCTGAATCTGGATATTCAAGTCTTGGACTTAAAGGATCAGGGTTTGTTGGTATTTCTAAAGGAGCAACGGGTACAAGACTTATACCTCTTAAATATGTTGTATATTGAGTATTGTTTAAATAACGGCAATATACATATAAATTATTTGTGGTACTATTTTTTTTAACACTATCATTGTTTAAAAAGATTGGAGTTGCAAAACCAATTTTAGCATAATTAGTTGTAGAGACACTCTGAGATACGATTTCAAGTCTAAATAATCTTTCGCCCCAATAAGCCGAAAGTTGGTTTTGGTCAATTACGAATTGATTTGTTGCGGGCATTGTAAAAACTGTTTCTTCCCACACTTCATTTGCTTGAAAAATATAAATTTTGATATTATTAATATCACTTGGGGCATCTGTTGTAAATATTTTTAAATCATCATTTGAATTTACCAAATAGCTTGGTTCGGTATTAATAATTTTAAATTCACATTTTATAAAATTACAATAATATAATATTAAAAATAAAATTATAAATAATTTATTTTCCATTTTTTGTGATTTGCTTTAAAATAATAAAAAACTAAAATATTATTGCATTGGTTTAAAAAAAAAATAAATAAAAAAAATAATAAACACTTAAACAATAAAAAAAAAAAAAAATCATTTTTTTAGAAAAAACGTGTCAAAATTTAGCATCGAAGGTGGGAAAAACCTTTGATGGTTTTATATTTTTTTTTCAATTCCATATGCCCAAAGAAAAAAAAATCTATTGAAACACAAACGCCATATGTATTTATTTTAAATTAACATTATTATTATAATTTTTTTTTAAATAAAAAAATAAAAATTAAAAAAAAATAAAATTAACTGCAAGAAAAAAAAAAAAAAAAATCACATGGCGACTATCGACCTTAACTATTGAAAATTTAAGAGTTTTTTTCTTAAAAAATATTTTAAAATAGAAAAATAAAATGGATAATAGATTAATTGATAAATAAATAAATAAATAAATAAATAGTTTTTTTTTATTGAGCTAGTTTTAATATATTACAAAAGCTTAATGATTTACAAATTATTATTATGTTTAGTTTAGTGGTGTTTTTCCCCTATAGATGCCAAGGCTAATTTTTGGTACTCTTTTATTTACACTCTCACCATCGCTTCCTGTACTACTGTTATTATTATTAATATTATTTTCATTATTGCTATTTTTATTATTATTTATATTTATATTATTGTTTGTAATATCTATCATTGAGTTTAATGGTGTTCTATATAACATATCACTTTTTGGGCTATTGCTTAACTTCGAATTAAAATTATCTTGCGAAAATGGTGATAGGGGTAAACTAGAGGTTGGGTATTGATTAGAATGTACAGGTGTGGATGGAGCATTTTTATTATTACTATTATTACTATTATTACTATTATTACTATTATTATTACTATTATTAATGTTGTTAATATTGTTGTTTATAGCTGAAGTTGGAATAAATGATAAACGAGAATTGCCTATTTTTGATACTTCGGGTTCTATTGGTATAATATTATTTGGTATACTTAATGAAATACCTGTTAAACTTAGTAACGATAAAAAATGATCTTTATAAATAATAATAGGGCAATTAAAATTAATTTTTGAATCTTTTTTTTTTTAATAAACCTATTAATTATAAATATAATTAGGTCTTGGATATTCTACTTACAAAAAGATAATTGATTATTATTTGATACCAAAAAAATTTCAAAATCTATACTGTGATGACTTAAATTTGGTTTACTTTCTTTATATTGAACTAAGTCTTGTTTATTTATATAGCCTTTAGATCCAATATCCATATTATTAAATATGGTTTCAAAGATTTTAATTTCTTTTTCATCAAACCTGTTATTCTAATGATTATAAAAAAATTTGTTAATATTAAATTTAATATAATTTTATTTTTAAAAAAATAAATACTATTATGAATATATCTGTCTCTTTAGAGCTTGAGCTAAAAGAACTACTAACCATTTTTATTTAAATAAATAAAACTGGTATAGCGACTGTTGTTTTTTGTTTGTTTATTTGTGTGGAATAAAATAATATGAAAAAAAAAAAAAAAAAAAAAAAGATATTTTTTTTTTTTTTAATTTTTTTAATTTTTTTATAATTTTTTTTTCAAATAAAATTTTAGAAAGTGCGCAGAAATATGTGTGTTATCGAGATCTTTTATTATTAGAAAATTGTATGTCTTTTGAAAAAAATATAAAAGATTTTAAAAAAATAAACAAAATAGATTTTAAAATAATTTATAAATAAAATTTGAAATTTGTAAAAATAATAAAAAAATAGAGATTTATTTTTTTATTATTTTTTTTTGATGATCGATAATTTAATAAAGGTTTAAAGAAACACGTTGATTTTTTTGTTTCCAAGCAGGTAAAGCAATAAATTGTTCTTTTGTGAGTTTGAATGAAACTAAGAAGTCTGAATCAGAGAGATGTAAGTGAATAGCTGTTGGATCAACATCTGATGGTAATGGTTTTTTTTGTAATACTTCTAATGGATAGAATGATGTGACGGTTTTTGGTGTTGATGGAATAGGTACAGAGGTATTTTTAGGGGTTGGAGCAGAGGCATTTGTTGAAGCTGGTGATGGATTTGCAGAATCGGATTTATTTGATGCTGTTGCTGTGGTTGGTTTTAAATTAACTTTAAAATTGGGTTGTGATGGTTGATTTGTTTGATGAGTTGGAACAGATCTAGTTGATGGCTTTAATGAGGAGGGGGCATTTGGGTGAGGTAAAACCATTGGGATTCCACCAGCAGTTCCTTTAAGAATTGAGTCTAATTTAGATTTGTAAGAATCTTCACGAAGTTTATTAGAATCCCATGCATGGAAATTGAAAATAAATTCCAATGGTTCATTACCATCTTCAACTCTATAGATTGGATCATCTTTTCTGTCGTTTGGAGCATTCATTAAATATTCCATAGCAGTTTCCATAGACATTTGTTTTTCAGTATCGCTTGATTCTTTACCGACCCAAACAAAGATTTGCTTTTGATTATCTAAAATCATAACATCATCAGAGTCTAAATCATCTTGAGAGAAATCAAAGATTTCAAATACTTTAAAAACACCTGAGTTTGCTGAGCATTGGAAAAGACGACTTTTTTTTTCTTGTTCTACAGTTCTTAAAGTCTTGTAATATTTTTTTTCGGCTAAAGTGCTTGAGCCACTTTGAATTGATTCCCAAAATTCTGATGATTCTTCACCTTCGGATATAACATTGAATGAATAACCTTTGAAAACATTTTGAGAGATGGTGAGAGCAGCTTGTTTTTCATCAGAGTATCTACCTACCCAAATATATGATGAACCCTGTTGATCAACAAAAATAAATGAGTCATTCGAGTCCAATGATGATACTACTTGTTCTACTTGAATTGCATTGGTATCAGTTTCATCAGTTCCTCTAACATGATAAAGACCAGATAATGAAACCTTATCAAAAGATAGCTCTGTTGTTGATGATCTTGCACCTTTAAATACAACCATATGGCCCTTAAAATGTTCTAAAAAGTGTTTTGGTTCTTTATTTTGGACGGTTCTAACATGAATACATGGAGTGTTTAATTCTTTGCCTACGTCTTTGGCCAATAATGCAGCAGCACCTTTGTCTTCGCTTTTACTGAATCTACCTTGCCAATAGTAAAGTATAGAGTTTGTTGATCCATCAATACTTGAAAGGGTAAACAATACCAAATAACATGATTGATTGAAGAAAAGACCAAATTCAGATTCAGCAATTTCAAATTTATCACGGTTTCTAACATGCCAGATTCTTAATTGACCCTTGTGTCTATCATCAATGTGGTGACAGGTTGGAATAGTTGATTTTCTTTCTTCTCTTGCCAATTGGTATTTTTCTGGGTTGTGTAGTTGATCGACATTAACTTTTTCTTGTTGTTGTTTTGGAGCAATTTTGCCAGTAACCTTTTTATCAAAGTCTTTTTGAACAAATTCACCCCATGAACCTTTTTTAAATTTATCTTTAAATAATGTATTTTCAGAACCTTGGGACATTTTAATAATTGGGGTCCATGATGGTCTTTTATCATCGTGCAATAAATCCATTGCATTAGATGTTGCCATTGTTTTTTGATTAGTTGATGACTTTTTACCTAACCAAACAAATAATTGAGTTTCACAATCTAAAATATAACAGTTTTCTGGCTTTAATTGTCCTGTTGAATAAACTTCGCCAATTGGTTCTATAATATGTAAATGTAACTCCTCTTCATTTTCATTATCGACTCTGTTAAAAAAAATAATTAGTATTAAAAAAAAAAATTTTATAAATAAAAATTATACTTACTGATATAATTTAATTTCTTCCATTGATTTCTTTTCAAAATCTAAATCATCACCACCAGCAGATGAAGGTTGAACATCTGATTTTTTTCCGTTTAATCTTGACCAAAACTCGGTTTGTTCTGCATCATTATCATTTTCGTCCATAACAATAATTTTGGCTCTTGCTGATTTTTCATCTCTTAAACGAACAGTAAGATCGAGACCTTTACCCTTTTCAAGTCTTGATGATTCGGAACCATTCCATTGAAAGATAATATCATCACCTTCTAATACAAATACATCACCAGAGTTTAAATTTCCAGCAGAAACCTCGATTTGCTTAACTCTAATATTACGTCTACCTTTCAAATGGAATAGTTTGTATTTTGCTTCTTTATTTGAACTACTATTACTTGCCAACTTTAATGGAGGAACATAACGTGGGCCACCATGGTTCTTGAAATAAGACATAAAGAGATCGCTTTCTTTTCCTTGAAATTCACGATAAAGAATTGGTTGTGTCCCATTTGTAGTTTCAAACTGTTGATTTTTAACAACTATTCTTTCTAATTCTTCAATTCTTTCGTTACAAAAATGAATTGATTCATCTGACATTGATAGCTCTCCAATCCAAAAATGGATACTGTAATCTTTAATGGTCATAGTACCATCATGAAATTGGCTCTTTAAAAAAAAAACTTTAATAAAAAGAAATAATTATTTTTTTAAAAGTAAATAAGTTAACATACCATTAAAAGCAAATAGGTTTTATTTGTTTCAAAGACTGAGTGGTTGATTTTTGGGAGCTTTTGAACAGTATCATTATCAATAACCTTCCAAATTTCTAAACCTATTTCTTTACCAATTTCATTAATATGCGAGAAACACGAGGACAATTGCAAATTTTTATTTGCTTCTATTTCTGCATTTTTTTTTATTATTGAAAATTTGCTTGGGATTTTTCTGGTTCTAGTTGTAATTTCGATATTAGGCTCCATTTTATTAATACTACAAAAAAAAAGGTATAATAATAAATAAAAAAAAAAATTTGATTTAAAAAAAAAGGTTATTTTTTAATAAAAAAAAAAAAAAAAAAAATAAATATTTAATTAAAAATTATTTGAAAATTATAAAAAAGTTTGAAAAATATCTTAAAAAAAATCTTAAAAAAATATTTTATTAACTATCCGTTTAAATTAATTATTATTATATAACCTTATTTTACAACAATGTTGATATAATTGAGGCAAGGATAACACCAAAACCAACAATCAAAGCGTTTGCAGATGAACCTTGAGCTTCTGTTTGATCTTTTGGTTTTGTAGTTGGAGCTGGTGTTGAAGTATTGGTTGAGGAGGTTGAGTTGGTTGGAGCTTTAGTTGAAGGAGTTGAGTTACTTGGGGTTGGGGTTGGAGATTCAGTTGGTGGGTTCTTATCACTTTGGCAGGTAACGGTGTATACATCATTAAGATCATTGGCAGTGTTTGAATCTTTACATTGGAAATTCCAGGCCTCTGATTGGCTAGCTTCGCATTTATCATTGTTATTTGCCCAATAGAGAAGCTTGAAGGTATTTTGTTGTTTATCTACAACATCAACCTTCATACTACCACCACAGCCTGCAGTACATTTGGTATTTATATAAACTTTAAGTTCGTATTCGGTTTGATTTTTTCCATCTTTGACAAAAGTATGTTCACATTCGCTTGGAACCTTTTTGTTTTTAACTACAAACATATTGAAGCCTACATCGGATGGGGATGATGATGGGGATGATGATGGGGACGATGATGGGGATGATGATGGGCTTGGAGTATCAGATTTTACATGAAGTAAAACTGAAAGAATTAAAACTAAAAATAAAATTATTTTCATTTTTTTTTTTTTTATATTATATATTAAATTATTTTTGTTTTTTTATGAATATATATAATTTAAAAGATTTAAAATATAAACAAATATATTAATAATTTTTTGAAAAAAAAAATTTTCATTTAAATAAAAGAAAAAAATAAAAATAAAAATAAAAATTAAAATAAATAAATAAATAAATAAAAATAAATTAAAAAAAAAAATAATTTAACATATAAATTTTTCATTCCATATATATTCAACAAACTTTTTTATCACCCATATTTTTAAAAAATAAAAAAATATAAATAAAAAAAACAAATTTATCATATAACAATTTTGATACCAAAGATTAAAAAGAAAAATTTGGGGTTAAGTTTGGGTGAGTGGGATATAATAACATAAAAGTGTAATTATATTTGTGTGAATTATTAAGTGTTTTGATTTATAAATTTAATATAATAGGTAAATTATATTAAAAATTATAACATGGCGAGTGTGTTAGTGTTAGTATGTGTGTTAAAATGTGTGGTAGATTCCCATACTTAAAAATATATATATGTTTTTTTTTTCAAAGTGTTAAATGTGTGTTATTTAACTGAAAAACAATATTAAAATAAAAAAATTTCTTTTTTTAATAATAATAATTAAATAATTTAATCGAAATAAATATATTCAATTTGTCAAACATATTGATTAATAGATTTATAATAATGATTTTGATAGGTTCTAAAAATAGATTCCTATCTTTTATGTTTTGTATTTTTTTATTATTTTTATTTAAAAAGTTATATTTATATTATTAATCTAAATAATATATAGACACAGTATTCTATTTTTAACTGTGTTCACTTATAAAAAACAAGAAATCAAAAAGAAAAAAATTAAAAAATAAAAATAAAAAGAAATAAAATTTAATGATGTTATAATAACAAATTATTTAGTTTTTTATTTTTTTAAAATAATAATTATTATAGTTTTTTTTTTTTTTTTTATATTTCATCTAAATCTTCGACTTCCTCATCATCATTTGGGTCTATTTTTAAAGAATCCAAAGCACCAGGTAATAATGATAAATTTTTTATATTAATTGTTAAAAAGTCGAATGCAAATGTAATATTATTGAAGGCTTCATCATTATTACTGTCATTAGTGTCACCATTAAAAGTTTCTTGTAGGTTTGGATAACGTTGAGAGAAATGAGTTAAAACAGTTGAGAATGAATTTGAATTACGGTATGCTTTGATGGCTTCAGAGAAAGTACTATGGCTTTTAGTTTGAGCTTTATCAGTTTGATGATCGTGGAAAGTAGCCTCGTGGATTAGTATGGTACTATCCACAGCGGCATCTACAAATTGTTGACAGAATTTAGTATCACCCGAATAGCTGACTTTCCACCCACTTTCACTTTCTACTACGATACCATGAGCATTAAAATTGTGAATTACTGGCACTGCAATACACTTTGAAATACCCAATTTTTGTTTCATAAATGTTGAAAGTTGTTTATCCTCTTGGTAGTTTTGGAAATTGTAAAAGGTAATATATTTCCATGGATAACTATAAAAGCTCATAGTCTTTTCTAATTCACGAATATAACGACCTGCACCTTGTGGGGCCAATACAATAAGTTGACGCTTTTCATAAGGAACATATGATTCTTCTAAAGCCAAATGACGCATTTCTAAAAGCTTGTAAAGACCTTGGTGATGATCGACATGTAAATGAGATAAGAAAATAAACCTTAAGTTGATTAAGATTTTATCGGACTCTTCTTTACCATACTTTCTAAAGAGTTGAGAGTAAGCACCACCACCCACATCAAAAAGCATTGCACCTTTTTCAAACATATTTAATAGAATGCAGGTTTCCTCTCTAAATAACGAAGTCTGTGAACAACAAGTACCTAAAAATGTAACCTCTAATTCTTTATCTGAAAATGAATCTATCATTTGCTCAGTACTCTTTAAAAACTGACCTCTAGTTGATAAAGTTCTTGGTGATGATGTAACTGATGATGAATTAATATCTAAAGATTTGATTTTTTTGGTCACTGGCGAACTATCATTTGATGATGATTTCTTTTCAAATGAAAAATTGGTGTCAATGTTTTCAGTACATGCAGTATTATCAATTAATGGATGACCTTGCGGTGAAAGAGGATTAACCATAATCGATTGATGGAATCTTCCTCTTTGAACATTGGGCATTTTAGATAGGGCAAGTGGTAAAGGCTTTGCATTGGAATATGGGAACAATTTAGGATAGAAAATAGGTGCAACTTCATTGAGACCATTTACTAAGTGAGCAGATGGTATAGTTAATTCTTGATATGCACATGCTTCGTTTAATACTATATGTTGCCACTTTCCACTTGAAAATGATGATACGAAATCACAATACTCTGGTAATGAAAATATCTCTTCTGGCACCATATGAACTATACAACCAGAACGCTCGCTTGTACTAAACGATGTGATGCTACTATTATTTAATATACCCTCCAAGTACTCGACTCTTGGACATGCAATTACTATGATAGCTGGGCCAATAGTACTTGGCGATAAAACATCTTCAGGTTTTATCAATCTACCTGCTTTTTCGCTAAATACCGATTCGCCTTTACATAACTTTGATCTACCTGAACCAACAATACCAAACTCATTTGCCTTCTCTACACTAAATTTACCAATGATGTCAGGTAATAAACAAACATAACAAATAATATCTTTAAACGATGTTGATGCTGATGAAACGCCTTTATTATTGCTACTATTTGATTTTGATGGTGAATTTTGTGGTGATAATGAAGCTGAAGATTTGATAACATTTGGTGGTAATATAGCATGACTATTAACTGGACCATATATAGGGTCCTTCAAATAAATATTCATTCTCTTTCTAACCATTTCTCTTTTTTCAACATCATTTAGACGTAATGATTTAGATAATCTTGAAACAATTCTAAAATGTCTACTTTCAAGGCACCAATAATCATTTTCTCTTTCTGTAGGTGGTATTGGTTGATAAATATCGGAATCATTGGTGTCGAATAAAAACTTTTTAATTTCTTTAGATCTTGAGGGTTTATACGATGATATATCTACATTTGAACGGCCATTTGATATATTATCTTCCTTTAATAAACGATAAGCGGCGTAATGTTCGATCTCCTCCATCTTGAACTGACTACCGGTGCTTGAAAATAGATAACCACCTCTAAGTAAAGTCCAATCGTAGAATGACTTCATGGAATCTGTATTAACTCGCATTGATTCTCTTGAAGCTGTGATAACTGGTCCAAATACTTTATCAAATATATATTTCAATTCTTTTCTTGAATTTAATTCTTTTAGTATACTTTCATTTGTATTTTTTTCTTCCAATTCATTTGTACTAGTGGTTGGAGGTGGCACAACGACATTACTATTTAAACTAACTGTTTCATTTGGTGAAATTATAATTGGATATACTTTTAAATGACCATCATCAAATCTATATTGCTCGCCTTCTGATGAGCATTCTGTAACATAAAATGTTCTACCACGTCTAGAAAAGAAATATCTGTATCCCAATAAATTTTCTGTTAAACCATTTGGCCCAATAATTGCTATATCTGTTTTATGTCTTAAAATATAATCTAAAAAAAAAGAAATTAATGAAATATTCTTTTTTTTTTTTTAAAAAAAGTATTCAAACTTTTATATTATTATTATTATTTTAATATTTACTTAATAAATCAGCTTGAGCAGATGGGCCTAAATGAGTATAGAATAATACACTTGCTTCTGATGGTTTTGAATGACTACTCCCTAAACTTTGTCTATGGATACCATTACCCATATTAAAACAATACTTTGTATTATCGATAGATACCATTATAGAAGCATCTGTAAACCCCGAACCTGATGACATAATTTTAATACCCGATTTCATTTTATTATTATTATTATTATTATTATTATTATTTTATTTTATTATTATTATTTTTTTTATTTTTATTATTATTATATATATTATTAATATTATTATGGTGATTCATAGATGGTTTTTATTTTTAAATAAACTAAAAAATAAAAATTATTACTAATAGTTTTTAAATATTTTCTTAAAAATAAAAATGAAAAATGAAAATAAAAATGAATTCAAATTTTAAAAAAAAAATAAAAAAAAAATAAAAAAAAAATAAATAAAAAAATTTATGAGAATTTTCCAAATTAAACAATTTAATTTTAGTTTTATTAATATGATCATAATGCTAATCGAAAAAACAAATAAAATTATTATTATAAATTTATGTTAATTTACTCTAAATTTTATTATTTCAATATTTATTTGTAAAGATAAAGTAAAAATTAAAAAAAGACGATATTGAGAATTTTAAAATACAACTAGTTTATTTAATTTTATTTATATAATCACAAATCGAAACGAGATGCACATTTATAAAAATTTTATTATTTTCTTATTTTTTTATTTTTTTTTAGATTTTAATTTTTTAATGTTTATTATTTACTATGTTTTTACAATTTTTTATTTAATTATATTATAATAAATATGATTATTAAATAAAAAACCAATAAAAGATTAAGTGGTATGTACATTGGTTATGTATTTTTTCTTTTTTTTTTTTTTTTGATTTTTTTATGATTTTTTTTTTTTTTGATTTTTTTTTGATTATGATTTTATGTGTTTACTTTTAAAATTTACACTTTTTGATATTATTTATTAATTTGAACATTGGATTTTATTTGTATTGCTATTTTGATTTGTTGGTTATTTTTATTATTACTATTACTATTATTATTGTTATTATTATTATTATTATTATTATTATTATTATTATTATTATTATTATTATTATTATTATTATTATTATTATTATTATTATACTTTTTAAATACCACCTTCTTCCATTGTTTGTCTTGTTAAAATATCTTTAACAGCTTCAAATACATGACCAATATTTGTGGTATCAGTGGCAGTGGTAACATTTGTATAAACTGGTTTTGAAGTTTTGTTGACTGAGAGGATTTTCTTTTTTAAGAAAACATATGATTGTTCGTAATCATCAGATGGACCTGTATAATCTGGGAAACAAATATTGATACCCGTTTTTTTAATTTTTTCTGCAAAAAGATCACGTTTGTTTAAGAAAAGAATAATTGGAATATCTTTGAACCAACGTTGATTGATAATATCACCAAATACTTTGATTGATTCAATCATACGATTTGTTTTACCATCTTCTTCTAATACTTGATCATATTCGCAAAGTGAAATTACAAAAAGAATAGCTGTTACTTCACTAAAATGATGAATCCATTTATCTCTATGACCTCTTTGACCTGCAACATCAATCATACGGAATTTAATACCTCTAACAGCAAATCTAGTTTCTGAAACTGATGTTGATGCAACTCTTGTATATAAAATATCTTGATCAGTTGGTATATAATCATCCTCTGCGATAGAATAAAAAAAAAAATAATAAAAATTAATATAAAATTTCTTTAAAACAAAAGATTTGAATGTGATTGTTTACCTGAAAATCTTTGGATGTCATCTAAAAAGTATTGAGATGATGAATGTAATTGGAAATGTGCACCACTATTATTAGCTGCATAGGTGAATGACTCGTTCTTTGAGAGTTCAGCAATGCCTTTTAATATATTTTTATCAAGATTTGTATAGTTTTTACTTTCATAAATATCTTCAATCTAATTAGAAAAATTTTTGAATTAATACTTTCTTTCCCTCATTTGATAAAAATTAATTATTGTAACTACTTACATTACTACAAATTGGTTCAAATTGTGGTGGGATGACTAAATTTAAAACGCTACAGCCCCGAATGATTGCATAAGCAATCTCAATAATATTTCTGTAGATGAATTGTTTTTGATTGATTCTTTTTTTTTGGGGGTAACCATCGAGATGCAAAATTTTCATTTGTTTAACAACAGTTGATTTACCCCTGTCCCCCGTACCTAATAAAAGTATTTTTAATTCCCTATCCATAATTTTCTTTTCATCTTTTAATTGCTTTTCAATTGCTTTATTGACAGCTCTTTGCTCCTTATAACGAGTTAAAAGTGATGGGGACATTGGGGGGGATAAGGTTGATGTTGATGAAGATGGGGATTGAGGGGATGATGAATTACCCCTTTTTTTTTTTTTTTTGAATTATATATAGTTTATAATTAAGTTGAAAAGGGGGATTTATATTTAATATTACTTTTTTATTATTACAAGTGTTAAACTAAATTTAAAAAAGAAAATGTTAGAATTTGATTTATATATTTATATTTTTCCAAAAAAAAAAAAAAAAAAATTATAATATGAAAAAAAAAAAAAAAAAGCTATTGTTTTCAAAGTTAACTTTAGATTGTGTGTACTTTTATTATAAAAAAAAAAAAAAAAAAAAGTTTTTTTAAAAATAATTAAAAATAAATAAAAATCTTAATTTTTTTTTTTTATAAATAATTATTTTTTCTATGTGATTATTTGATTTTTTTAAAGCTATTTTTTTAAAAAGTGGTGGTTTGAATTAATATGAACAATGGGTTTTTAAAAAAGAAAGAGGTGTGATAGGGGCGGAGAAAGTATTATTTTGAAAAAAAAAAAAAATTATAAACCAGTTTTTATAAATATACAAAAATTAAAAAAAGATATTTTTTTATTTTCTTTTTTTTTTTTTTTTTTTATTTTTTGTGATATTATTTT